CAAAAGAAGACCCACGATTCCTCCACTTCCCAATCCATCTGTCCAGATCAGCTATGCTGCCATTGCACCACGTACATCTCCACCATTATCTGTGCCATCAGCTTCTGTCACTGTAGTAGGTCCATCTGCTGCTCCTCCATCTGCTGCCGTGCCCGTGTTATCTCCTGTTGTGCCGGTTTCATCTGCTGTTGTGCCGGTTTCATCTGCTGCTGTGCCCATTTCATCTGCTGCTGTGCCTGTCTTATCTTCTACTGTTCCTCCTCCTTCAGTCTCCACGATCACTCCACTTAACAACGAAGAAGCATCTGTCCTTGAAGAGTTTTTGATCCTGGAAGATACCAGTGAGTTCGATCTGGAAAATGTGCCTCCCAAAACTACCAGGGACATAGGAGTGAATACCTCACCATTTAAGGATGATGTAGCAGAGCTGAAAGCCATTATTGAGAGACAGGCCAGAGCCCTGAGGAACAACACCCTTGCCACCAACAGGCTAGAAGAACTTCTAAAGAAGTCCCAGACACAGCAGGATATGAGATCTATGCATCAAGGACCAGGGGAAGGTGAACGCCCTAATATCTCCTACCGTAAAAAGTCTCCGCCACCTCCAAGAATGAAATCAGTTGTTTATCAAATGCCCAGACGACCATCAGCAAGGAAACCAGAGCCGTACAGAAGACCATCTCCCCTTGAGAACCTTCTTAAGCCTGAAAGAAATAGAAAACATGGACATTAACTTTTGTGCTAAGTATATTTCCCCTCAGATAAGTTAACTTGTTATAATATTTCTTTTATTGATAATTGGGAAGTAAGGTTAGGATTGGGATGGGTGGTGGACTTTCTGTGTATTTTTCATTGTAACTTCGAGCATTGGTGGTTTATTTTGCTTGAATTTGTATGTTATCATATTACCATATGTTATAATTGTAATGATAGTTTGATGTATGTACATTGTATATACTTGAGAGTGTCTGAAGTAATAAGTTGGAGTACTTGAATGTATTTTGAGCAATGACTGTACAATCATTTTCAATGATTGAGAATTCATATTTTACTTGATGTCTTTGTTGAATGACTTTCATTGGAATTGGTAATTTATTTATGAATCTAATTATCTTTGAAGACAGTAACTTGAGAAATTGATCTGTGTATACTTACCTTAATTATTTTTCATGAGAGCTTAAGATTAGTAACATGAATTGTGTCCATCGGTATCCTCTGTTCTGATTAACTCTGTAAATGAAATCAAGGAAGATTAGGATATGTTACTTGAGTAACTAATTATAGTTATGCTTATGTACCTTTGTCTCTAAATTATTAGCATTAGCAAAGTACATTGTTATCAGTTGTTAGCATTTATGTGCAAGTACAGATGCACATATTTACATGATGTTATATTTTTATACTTACCTTGTCATGTTTTCATGCATTGTTGTCATATTTTCATATTTGCATTGTTGTTATAGAATCATCCTTCCATATATTGTTACATCACACTTTCATCTTGATTTGAGATCATCTTTTCATTCTTGCATTGTTGACATTTTTTTTATTGTTGTAAAATAAGTCCAAAGGGACTTGGACAATTTTAACAGGGGGCAAAATGTGACAAATAGAGTGACAGTGATATTATAATCACGAAGTTTTAACCGTATTACTTGATTACATTTTTCTTTAGTGCATTGTGTTTTGATACGACCCCCGAATTCTGTCAGACGATGTGTATTGCCGCATACGTTATTTTGTTTGCTTTTCGAGATTTTAATGTTGTTATGATGTTAAATTAATTGTTATCTATAGCTTCCTATATTGTATACATGATCACATAATTAAAACGGTGTTTGTTTAGCGATTATTCGGTAAATTGTTACCTGGTATGTTTTCTCTTTCGCCGCATGGTTTGTTATTCCGGAAGTGCGATTTCCCAGAATGCATTTTTCTTAAAATGTTAAAAGTTGTAAGCGGTGATTTATTTAATTAATTGTATGTCAATCTTCTTTAATTATTACGAAAGTTATTTTGTTTATAAAGTAGTTATAATATTTTACTTGTTTCTATTTTATGGTGAAACATGTACACAACTTTTTGTTATCGTGGGAATAAGGTTATCGCGTATCGCCTGTGATTGGTTGATGATCAGGTGCGCGACGTTTCTTATTGGTTATCGTATTCTACGTCATTTCGTAGTATTTCATGACGTATATATAGTAAGAACGAGAGTTGCAGAGAGCAGAGTAGACAGAGATTAGATTACAGACAGTAGATTACACCAGTGTAAAGGTGTGTGTTTAATTTAGTTTTTTTTGGGTTAAATAATTTGATTAAGTGGTGTGGGGGAAAACTTTATTCAGAGATTGAATAATATTTATTTACCAGTATATTACTGGTGTGGATTTTCATGATTACTGGTTTATTACCAGTTTAGGATTAAACTTGGGATTTTAATAGGTCTAAGAGAGTTAGACTTGCACATGAATTATTTAATTACTGGATAAGACTCCAGTTATAGAGGTTTTTTTTATGAGTTTGTGAAACACCAGAGATTTTGTGAAATGTTGAACAGTATTGTTTTGTTTCCTGTTAAATAAATTTATAAACTTTCAATGGAGTTCTTGACTTGTTGAAGACAGTCCAGTTAGCGTATCCGCACGTTACACTTTTCATTGTTATTGCTATAATTGTAAAACAATCATTTTACCAGACATCAAAAAAAAATCTAATAGGGTACATTTTTTAAGGTTTATATACAATGTAAGTACATTTAAAAGGTATGTAAACTGATGAATATAATTGCACTGAACAATATGATTATAAATATTTATATATTTAAATGTATTATTTGGAGAGTAGTTTTCAGATTTCAAAAAAAAAACGCGTACTGAGAAACCATTTAATTTTTTTCTCGGAAACGTAAGAAAAAAAAATACGGTCTCAAATCTTAAGTGCTAAAAAATATCCTTGAATTGTTAAACTCCTTTGTGCCTCATTTACTATTCAGATTGCAAGCTTTTCACATCTCTGTTTTACCGATCTTATGTATTTTCCCATCACAAATAACTCAAAGCATTTTATGTCTCAGCACGTATTGTCAAAAGACCTTCTTATCTTAGAATAAATACATTGAGAGATGACTTTTTGTTTTGTTATGTTCCCAATTAACTTGGATTCCCCCTTCCTGAGTGTCCAAGTTACTTTCAGATTCGGTCATACCTATCTATTTCAAAGTTTAGGGTCCATGTAAACATGAAATTGGATATCTGAATGATTGAAAGAGTGATTGATTACTCCCAAACATAACTAGGGCTAATTGTAACGGGGACCGTTACAGATGTTCCCCAAACGCTCCCCATGTCCCTTTTCGTGCCATAGCTTTTCCTGTAAAACCTTTTATAAATAAACTAAGTATTTAAGGATTTCATTTAAAGATATAAAAGTTACAATGATATCAGCTGTATATCGTTTAACGTTTTGCATTGGCCCACACGTACATGTACATGCATATGCAAGATGATCATGGCATGTTGGTTAAGCTTTCTATCCTGCGAATAATAGAAAAAATACAGATATAGAGTTACCACATTTCAAGTATATATCATTTTTTGAAATACCTATTCACATTTAAATTCTCTACTGATTTTAACCTCGGGCTCAAAGTTGGTTTTATTTTTACGACAAGGCAGTGTTAAAGTCGATTAAGGATATCACGCCGATGGCTAACCAATCATAATGAACTTAGTCAATTTTAGTTCCATACATAGAAAAGGGATTTTCCTTTAATCTGTTAAGATTTTTTTTAAATATATTTCCTCTCTGGTCATTTTGACAACTCTGGTACCTGTGCCTAGTAAATTTTATATACTATGTAAATAAATATATACATGTAAAGGTTTTTGACCGGAACTATTCATTTTTTTCCAAATTGAATGCATAGGAGGCTACTTTCTGGGGTTTACAATAGATATTTATAAAGACATTTGTATCAGCTAATGTGACCAATATTCTTTAAGACCTTCTTAATACCTGATATTTTTTTTACGAAGGAGCGTACATGTATATTGATTTTGAATTTCTGAGGATTGCGTAATTCTAAAAAAAAATAAATTAAATTTCAAAGGTTAAATAAACAAAGGATACTTGGTATTAATATATTGTTTCAAATCAGTAGAATTGAATGCTATTAACGACATCCGAATAAATACATGTAAAAATAGAAGGCTTATATACAAACTTTGTTCATCTGTACTTTAATTTCAAACACGACAGGATTTGTAATTAATTAAATTGATAATTTCTATATTCTTTGGAAACTCACATCAAATATTTTAATACTCTTTCCTCGAGCTCTTTTCTGCAGTTTCCTTGAAATGTAATGTGGGTCCGAGGTGTAATTTTAGCTTTACAGCGATTCTCTACTTTGTGTCAGGGGGGGGGGTCTTTCTACCCTTGGGTTAAGGTCAAAGGTTAAGGTCAAAGGTTAAGGTCGATTTCAAGTTCATAGGTCAAAGTCATTTTGGTAAATAGCTAATATCAACATTTTATTCAGGTTACTAGTGACCTTGACCTAAGTATCAAGGTCAAGGGTAAAAAGATCTGCTTCAGTATGTCTTTACATTTATAAGTTCTTAATTCTGCATGAACATCAAAAGACTTAAGTATACTGTCGTTTAAAGCATTGTGTGTGCGCGCATGTGCATGATCATTAAATTAATGTGTATTTTTCAAAGAACAAAGAAATCGGTTCTCAGAAAAGAATGTTTTCTACGAAAAACTGAAAACGGTTCCAAGAAATATACGTTAATTATAAGCTATTCATTAAAAACGCACACTCAAAGGCTAGTGTCGTTAACATGAAATAAAGATCTTCAAAACCCTATTTTGATATTATGCCTGAAATATGTTCCCCATTCTTTACTCAGAAAATGCACAATGGTGTTTAAATGTCGAAACTTGGCTTTTAAACAAGTGTACCCGATGCTTATTTGCATTTGCTTGCAAACATGTGGAGAGTCACATGTAAGCAGTGAAATAAGATTATCAGTGGATAGCTAATCAGATATTAACTGTCCAATATGGAATGTCCGGATGACCTTTCACAGTTAGCTGACTTTTCTGAGGACAACGTAACTAAAGTTGTTAAGACCAGATATAAAGAAGACAGAATATATGTAAGTACTCGGTCATTATATTAGTGTACCTTCCGGTTTATGTTTCATAACTTTATATTTACACTGACCCGTTTTGCTGAGTTTGTTTTTATGATATTTATTGTCCCTTTCGAGGATTTATTTTCACTCCTTTGGAGACGCTACCACTTGCCAGTGATGGGCTGCTGATTTAGACGTATATTGAAATTAAAACACAGAGAAATATTTTTCATGACAGCACCTACTGCGACACGGAATCTTGTTTTATCCGGTCCTAACTTAATGATGACATCATATAATTAGAAAAAAAAATCAGTAATAAAATCGTTGTTTTTACGTTTAAGTGAAAATTCAACCGATCCGCCGGATTTTGTTGTTGAAATACTCCTAACGACCTAACCTTCAAGTATTAACGACTATTGGGAATAACTAGAAGTACTGTAAGCACTGAGCTCACTAGATGATAACCCCGCCTCCAATATGATTATAATTACAGAGTCCTTGTTTTGCTCTTCTAACCCGAAATAAGTGCCAAGTCAAAAAGTAAAAAAAAAAGAGATGCACGATGGTATTTTAAAAGAAAGATTCATTCAGTTGTATAGGAGCAGTTGCAGATAAAAGATGAGTACCCTTTAATATTATTGAAAAATGGCAGTGTCAATGTTTTGCTATTGAAAACCCCAAATACGTGTTTTTGACGCGCAAATCTACTAGCATCAAATAAATTTTGCTTGACCCTCCTTTGACATAAATATTTTTTTTTATATTTTACCCAAGGTATTCAACTTTAATTATTCTATCTAGCGCATTACTTTCTCTGCTATTAAAATCTGGTACTAGTTGATTTTTTCAAGGATTACTTTATTATATATAATTATAATATAGCCCCATTCATGTATATAAATCCATTTATTATATGATTGAATAATTTCCATCTCTCTGATTCCTGAGATCCAACTATGTTAGAAAAATATTATTTTGTATTGACATGCACCGGCTGCATGTGACATTCTAGGTGAACACAAGGATTAATTCTTTCTACATTGATCTAAAAAAAGATCGGGAAATTCCAAATTGATACAAATTGTTTTGAATGCTATTTTAACGAATTTGACTTTTTTATGTGAACAAAACTTTAACGAATTATATATTTTCGGATAAGGGCGGTAAGAGGGGTTGCAGAGATCCCCTCCAACACCTATACTGAAGAACAATTTTTACTTTTTGGCTGTCATTTTTCCCTGATTATACTCATTCCTTTGAAAATCCATCCTATGAATGATTATATTTTTTTCATGGCAACTAAAACTGCCATGCAAAATTACATTCCAAATTGATACGACTGGTTAGTTAAGGTCTTTCGTTTCAGACGGAAGACCTTATTGTGATTCTACTGTTTTTTTCTTTTTATTATTTTTTTTCCTTTTTCCTGTAAATCGGATTTCTCAGAGATGGCTGGACGGATTTTCTTGAAATTTTCAGGGATGATAGAAAATGAAAATACGCCCAGGCGTTTTTTTTTTAATTTTTTCAAAATTAACTTCCGGTCGTCAGTTATGTCCGATTTCCGCTTTTTTCAAAATAATTTTGTCTGAGTCTTATCTCAGAAACGGTAAAAGATGAAGACACCAAACTTAGAGAAATAATAGATCTTGATTAGTAGGCAAGCCCATTTGGGTTAACATCATCCGCCTTCACTTCCGGTCGTCACAGGAAGTGATCAAAGAAATCAGAAATTTCAACTTTTCTTTTATGAAACTTTTTTTGCATCAGGTAACAACATCTTATTTGTAGTTTCTAAATATATCAGTCCCACCGTAAACAAAAACGACAACTTCCGGTTATGAGAGAAAAACTGCATATTTTCAGTTTTTTTTCTTTCAAATATTTTTTATAGATAAAGTATTTGTAATGATTTTTTGAAATGTTATTCAGACTGCAACTGTCTACAGTAACGTCAAAAATCTTTGTAAAATTCACTTCCGGTTGCGTGATTTCCTGTCCTCAAAATAAGAAGTTATAATAGCTACAATGTAGATCTCGTAAACGGTAAGAGTTTAAGACACCAAACTTAATCAAGTGGTAAATCGTGATGAGTAGGATAAATCATTTATGAAAAGATCGTCTGCCGTCACTTCCGGTCGTCACCGGAAGTGATAAAAAAATCGAAAATTTCAACTTTTCTTTTTTGAAACTTTTTTTACATCAGATTATAGAATCTTATTTGTAGTTTTGAAATATATCAGTCCCACCGGAAACAAAAACGACAACTTCCGGTTATAAGAGAAAAACTACATAATTTGATTATTTTTTCTCCCATATATATATATACTTTTTGTAGATAAAGAAATTGTTAATGATTTTTGGTTATGTAACTCAGACAACATATGTCTACAGATATTTCAAATATCATTTTAAAATTCACTTCCGGTCGCGTGATTTTCTGTCCTCAAAATGAGACGTTATCATAGCTAGATCCTGAAAGCGGTAAAAGATTAAGACACCAAACTTATAGGAATGGTAGAGCTTGATAAGAAAGCAAATCCATTTGTGTTAACATCGTCCGTGCGGCTGTCACTTCCGGTTGTCACAGGAAGTGATCAAATAAATAAAAAAAAATCAATATTTCTTTATAGAATCTTTCTTAGTAATACATTATAGCATCTTATTTGTAATTTTGAAATATATCAGTCCCACTGGAAACAAAATCGACAACTTCCGGTCATGAGAGAGAATCTTTTATAAAAAGAGTATTTGAAATGGTCCTAGGACATGTCATTCAGACTGAAATGTCTAGAGTAACCTCAAATATCTTTTGAAAAATTACTTCCGGTCACGTGATTTCTTGCCCTTAAAATGAGATGTTAATATGACGAGACCTCTTAAATTAAACTGTACTAGATCAAGACACAAAACTTATATGAATAACAAATCATTAAGATTAGGCAACAGATATAGCGTAAAATCCATCTGCCGTCACTTCCAGTCATCACAGGAAGTGATATAAAAATTGAAAATGATTTTTTGTAAATGTTATTAAGCCTATAATTATCTAAAGTAACATCGAGAATCTTCCTTTTTTAAACATAGATAAAAATTCATACATACACATAAATAGAGGAGAACGGAAGACCTTCTTTGTTGCTGTAGCAACAAGAGTTTCTAGTTTTATTTATATTTCAATTCAAAGTATAAAGATCCTACCGGGCTCGGTTAATATTGTACTCCTTAGATGGCTAAATCATTGTATTGACCTCAAAAAACAGCAATAATTGTTTAAAAATTAGCAAGGTATGTAAAACTACTTAAAAAGTTCAATAATTTTATTATTTTAATTACATCTTTCACCCAAAAGCCCTTCTACACCACATGCAGTACAGTTAATATGCATTCATAATTTAAAGACATGTGTGTCACATTGGGCCTTTTCCCCTATCTAAAACAACAGGTAAATGTCAAAGTGAAAATAAGGGGGTGGGGTGGTGAACATGTAGTGTTGGGGTACGCATTGACACTCAATTTGAATGTTACCTTCAATATTTCGTATCACACTCATTTTCGACGATTACATTTATTTTGAAAATATTCATAACTATAGAATTTCAATATCTTTAATGTTATTGAACATTTATCACTTGTCATTACTGTATAGCGAAATTTACAAGGTTTTCAAGGGCAAAGAGGAGGGGGTGGGACAAATAAATTTACATGAAAAGTGCAAGAATTAGCCATTGAAATTTAAACACTCTGCTCACTGAAATGGAAAAAAAAAATTTTGTATGATGCAGTTTTTCCCCCATTGATTCAATATAATTTGATATCTTGTTATCTTGTTGCCATTTCGTACACAGAATATCTTAAAGAATATGTAACAAAATCTACAAACCGTCCTTTACAAAATGACAACGCATATATATTTATTTAAGAAATAAGAAGCCTTTCAAAGGAAAATTCCATCATGTGGTGTATGAACAAAGCAGATAACGCAGTGTAATCAAATACGGCATGTTTATTCTCTTAGATATTTTCTCGCTGAGATAAAGATCAAACGAACGTATCGTATTGCAATCATTTTCATGTTATTTGGGAAAATACACACGGAAATTTGAAACCACTTCCTTGTCCGATTATGTAAGACATAGTCTATACCCTATTCAATTTTTGGACCTGTGTCCCTTTAAAATGATTGACAGCACCGTCCGTTTTAATGAACCCTGTCTTACTTTTGTCATATTCTGTATTTAATAGTATTTGTTGTATTTTTAGACGAACGTTGGAGAAATTCTTCTTGCAGTAAATCCTTGCAAAGAACTTACAATATACACAGAAAGTGTAAGCTACAATTGTAATTATTTTGCGCACAAATAAAAAATGAATGATGGTACATTATATCTCTCAAATCAAAATTAAAATACTATTAAATTTCTTTTTGGAAAAAACCTTTAATTGATTATGAATACCATAACAAGTCTATAATTTACTTTCTAATTGAAATAATATATGAATATTATATAAAGACCAAGAAGCAATATGACTGGGGAAATTTCGAAGCGAAACCTCCTCCACATGTGTTCGACATTGCCACAAGAGCATATCGACGCATGCTTCAGGCAGGTGGAAACCAGATTATACTGGTTTGTGGCGAATCAGGCGCGGGGAAGACGGAGAGTGCGAAGTACATGGTTGAGCACCTAATGTACATGGTTGGTCATGGAACAAAGAACCTGAATGAAAGAATTGTAAAGGTATATCTGAAAGAAAAACAGTAAACTATTACACGTAATAAAAGCATACACTGTAAAAAAAAAAAAGCTAGTTAAAGTCACTAAAGAAGACTAGTAAGTTCATTGTCCATACAATCACTACCTAAAAAGCAGTTTTACTAGGCATTGGGTATATTTACTAGATCAGATTAGTAAATCTAGAATTGATAAGTAACTTTCACTATGTATGTAAGTATCTATACGACACCCGCTTCAAAACTCACTATCTTTGCCAGTAAACGAAAAGATTACTTATCATGACAAACGCTTTACGAGGCACACTAGCTATATTCACTAGGTTTTTCTTTCAGTGAAGCAAATAATTATTTGGAGAGAGAGAGAGAGAGAGAGAGAGAGAGAGAAAGATTCTAGCACAATTAATTATGTATAGTATTAAAATATGTTTGTTTGGGAAAACAATGTTCTCATTCGCTTTCAGTTAATGAAAATTTCAATGTTTACAGATAAACACCATACTTGAGACTTTTGGAAACGCCAGAACTAAAATGAACCACAATTCGAGCAGATTTGCCAAATTTTTACAATTGAGCTTTGGTGAAGACGGGCAAGTGATAGGAGGTAGAGAGACAAATAACAATATTTCGTTAATTTTAATTTTCTTTTTCCAATTTTTTTTGTTCATATCTGAATTTCTGATTTATATTTTTATTAATATTTTTAAACATGTTTTCTCCCTTTTCTGTTTGTTGGTTTGAATCTTTTTCCTTTTTTTGTTTTTGTTTACAAATGTTTTTGTGCTTTCATTCTTGTTTTTCTTTTTGAAATAATATTTAAAATAATTTTATATTTTGTATAAAATAAGGTATATCAAGTAATTTTCACAGTTTAGTAGACTGAAAAGATTTTCATTATAATATTTTTTAGAGAAAATTCTAAAAACAAAACATTCAAAATGTTAACTCTAAGTGTATGTGAAAAGGTTTTCATTTTAATTATTTCAAACGATATGAATTATTTTTCGTTCAACATTAGCAATTGTTCGGGACTACATGCTTGAAAAATGTCGAGTTGTGGCCAGGATTCCAAATTGCCATGAAGGAAACTTCCACATCTTTTACGCCATGTTTGCAGGATTGTCCGAAAAAGAGAAACGAGACCTTTATCTACAGAGACAGGAAACCTACGAGTATGTCAATAACGTTAAAATTAACATTTTACTGTTTGCTGCATTTAAGGTCTGACGACATGTTCCTCTAATATATGTTTTGAATCTCATTATTGTCATTCTCTTGTAATTTTTACTCTGTTTTCAATATGTTTTTAAATGTATGTACACCAATCATTATGATTTAGGACTTTTGGAAAATTGCCCATAAGGATTATATAAGAAATATTACTCTCTGGAGTCTTGCCCAAGTCCCTCGTAAGGTATATACTTCAATTTTTTGAAACTTGTTTTAGTACCCAGACTACAGTGACAAATTCTTGGGAAAAAAATATCCTTGAGGAACTTGTCTTCTGACCTTAAGAAGTGTAAAAAAGTAGAATATATAAATGTTTCGGGATAGCAAAGCTATGTAGCAGTGTGTCATCCATGAATTACAAAACATTTCCAAAAATGTTCTCAGAGTCATTTCGTGTGTTTTTAGTTGATTAATTAATTGATTTGAAATTGTATTTTTAAATTAATATATATTTTACTGATTGATTATCACCCATTAATAATATTTGATACCAGAAACCTTTCCGATTTCTCATGGTTCTAATTTGCGCCTTTTTTCATAGTAAACGATTTATTCAAAATCTTGTGTACGAGAAGAAAATAAAAACTTCTTCTGGCTTTCAACATTTTAATATGTCATCAACCCATTAACAGTCAATAATAGACACTTCTACTCATCCTTGAACGCAATATATCCCAGTGAGTTTGAGAGAAAAAGGCAGAGTCGGACACATTTGTTTTATAGAACCAAATTTTCCCGAAAAAAAAATGAGAATGGTAACCAAAAGACAAGCTGTATGATAAATGTGCCGACTTTAACGTTTGAATCGTTAACTTTCTTTAATCATGTTACAGTCTCCTCTTATTGTCTCAGATGATTCGATACTCAAAAGCATACGAATTATTTCTAAAACGAGACAAGTTATTGACATTTAAGTTGATGGAACAAGAATATCAATTGTCATATAAAGTAATTATTTCAAAAGTTTTATGGTCGATACTGTGAGTTTATCAGCAACTACAATCTATGATTTAATCGAATGCTGACTGACAATTTGCTTACTTATTGCTAGGCCAATATTCACACTGAGATTCTCACGGATGTCTTCTGTTTATTATGATCATGCAAAGGAGCAGCAGATTTGCTCTCTCGTTCATTGCACTTGATCCCACCCCTGATGTTTTAGAGGTCCATGTTTGCTCAACTTATGATTTGTGTTTTTTTGAATAGAATTTTGAGTCTAAACGACTGTTTGTTCTTTCAGGGTTCATTATTCTTTCAAATACTGAGTATCATACATGATGACTACTTATACATACATGTTGTTTGAATATCTTTCAAGTTTTCTTTAATTCTAATATATTATTGATAATAGGATACTAAAAGGGAGTGCTGAAAACTTAAAAAGTGAAGTGAAGGAGGAATATCGCAGGAGATATGAATCCATTCGACAAATTTTAACACAAATAGGAATGAAAGAAGATGTAAGACATTTTAAACTCTTTGCAGAAGTTTAATTCTCTTTGCAAAAAGTTATCACTGATTGTAAATTGCGGATTTAGTTATCCAGTGAATATGAAGTATTTACAGTAAATTGTCCTTTTGTTTGACAAACATTATCATATTTTAATCTTTAGGAACAAAGGATAATGAAGAAGATGCTAGCGGCCATTTTACATTTGAGTGAAATCAAATTTGATGTAGTGAAGGGTAGTGTTAAGATAAAGGATAAGGAATACCTAAAACAAGGTTAACTACGTTTTCACTGTCATATCAGTGTGATTTTAAGCTCTCAGCATATTTATGCGCCCTGATCGATAGACTCGGGGCGTGTATTGTTTTGTCCTGTCTGTCTGTTTGTCGGCAAACTTTAACCCTGGCCATAACTTTTAAATCATGAAAGATACAAACTTCATATTTGGTATACATACTCTACTAATAAAGTTTCTTCAAATGACACCAAGACCAATGACCTTGTGACCTTGCCTGTGACCTATATGCTAAAGATAGCTTTTTTCCGACAAACTTTAACCTTCGCTGTTACCTTTGAACCATGAAAGATAGAGACTTCATATTTATTATGCATACTCTACTAATTAAGTTCTTTCAAATGATACCAATTTCAATGACCTTGTGACCTTGACTGTGACCTATATGCTAAAAATAGCTTTTTGTCTTCAAACCTTTAAACCATTAAAGATAAGAGACTTCATATTTGGTATGCTTACTTCACTCATGAACCTTTTTCAATGACGTTTTGACCTTGACTTTGACATATATACTAAAAATAGCTTTTTTGAATCTTAACCATAACTTTTGAGCCATGAGAGATAGAGAACATCTTTGGTATGAATACTCAATTATTATCAAGCACTATCAAATGATATGAAGGTCAATGACCTTGTGACCTTGACATTGACCTATATGCTTAAAATATCTTTTTTGAACTTTGTTGCCGCCGGCCGCATAGTGTTTCACAAACACATCTTGCTTTTTCACGATAACGTCATGAAATATTAAAACTCAATGAGCAATTCCCAACATTTCAAAAATATACTCCGACCAATTTACTGATTAAGCATAATATACATGTTTGTAAATATAGTGATAAGTTTGAAACAGTGAAACCTATATATCAAAAGTACGCGTAATAACTCTGAAACTTTGATTTACTATTGATGGAACTCGAATGAAGAGAATTGCTATGTGAAACAGTGATTACTTTGACATTATGATGCTCACTGTAAGTTTGTCTCTATACTATCAATGCCTATCTAGACCAACAACGTGTTAAAAGGATTGATGTGACGTAAGCATATTATGCCAAAACAGTATATAGCTTCATTTTTGCTAAGAAAAATCCAATATTATTCGCACAGGGAATAAAGTGCAAATGTATAGGATAGCCCTGTTGTAAAAACTTCGTATATTGTATCCTAAAATAAACAACTTTAGTAAATCGATAAGATTGTTTTAGATATGACAAAGAAACTGTATATTATAAGGACACATGTTTATTTATAGCTGCTGACCTATTAGAAGTGCAACCTGAAGATCTGAATGATGGCTTGCTTGAAAAATCCAAACCTGCAGGTGACTTCCCAGGTAGCACAAAACATTTTCAAAACATTTTATTGGTGTTGTAAAAAGGTTTTTTCGAAACATTTCAGATTAAACATTTTAAAAATGTTTTTAAAACATTTCCTCTTCTCAATAAAACATTTTAAAAACATTTTTAAAATGTTTTCAAGAAGCTTATGATTAAATCCTTTTGGAACATTTTTCTAAAATATTTTTGAAACGTTTTAAAAATGTTTCAAAAGGTATGTTTAGCTTTCAAATATCAAAGATTTTTTTATTGCGTTTTAAAAACGTTCTAAAAACATGAAATGAAACATTCCTTTTCCATGAATCTGAAACATTGCATCAGTACGTTTCTGAAACATTTGGAAGGAACATTGATATAATGTTTTTGAAACATTCTTAATTTATTTAAGGGTATTCATAGCTTCCAAATATTAAAGGTCTTATAAAACGTTTTAAAAACGTACTTAAAACATGAAATTAAACATTCTTTTTGTGTAAATCGGAAACATTGCATATACGTTTCTGAAACATTTGTAAGGAACATTTAAAAAATATTTTTAAAACATTCTTAATATCGCTGTTAGTTAAAAACATTCAATTCCGGATATTTTTCGGCCCAGGCAGTGAAAATGTTTATTTAAAACATTAACTAAAATAATTATTTTCACTACAATTGAAACATTTTAATTAAAGTTTTTGTAACATTTTTTTGGAAACATTTTCAAAATGTTTCTGAAACATTTATGTAATTGCGGCACAATTTAATTCATTTAGTAACTTTAAGAATATGTTGTGAGAATGATCTTAGAACATTCAATTTAATGTGTTTTCTTTTTTAAAAGACTTAATTTTTCATTGCTGCTGTTCTTTTCAAAATGTTCTTAAAACATTTAAATAATGTATGATTGCGATTTTCCTATAAAATTTAGTTTATGAAGAAAAAAAAGAATATATAGAAAGAATAGTGTTAAAATGAGGAATTGTAGTAATTGTTTAATTGAAAGATTTTTCCGGTATTTTATAATGATTTCTAGTTTTGGCTAATTGATTAAACAGACATAATTTATATAAAGTCCTTTAATTAAACAACTCAAAAAATCAATAAATGAAAGGATATATAGGCAAACAAAAAAAATTAAAATATATAAAATCATAAGCATTAAATAAAACTCTTAAATGTCTTTTTTTTTTAAAAATGTTCTTCATCAAATCTGTTATCCACTCCCAGATTTTTACTCTGAGGCATTCGATAGGGATCGGCACACTGGTCAGTTTCAGTGTCATGATAACCTATTATGCAATTCTCCTGCTGGGCAGCGCGTTACAGAGTATAGTGGTTTGCTGCTTATCTAGGCCAAATTTTGAATTCTGGTAAAGAAGATGTGCGCGCTTACTCCGTACCGATTTGAATGAGAAGACTTCGCACTATATAAACCACAATAATAACCTCGGGATATATTAACTTTGAAGGGTAAGAATTATTCCTTTATCATAGGCTTTAAAAGATCATTTAAAAACGACTTTTATACTACCAGTGCATGATCAATAACTTTGTACAAATGTATGTAGCAATGACAAAGCGAGGTTAATTATATTGCATATTTGATTTGAATATTTCATTCTTAAGGCAACACAATTATATCCTTGATTCAAGTATTCGTTTCTTTGTGAAATGTTAATCATCAAACAATATGTTGATTTAAAAATGAAATTTCTTTACAGCATGGTGTTGGTTGCATCATCCGTTTTTTTCAAATTCCCACATTCAAAAGACCCGCCTTTGGTAAAGGCAAAGGTGTACGTAATTACTATTACTCTTCAACAATATCATTGTCATAGTAATTGTTTTTTTGCTTTTAAAGTTTTTATTAATGCAAATGAGGAAAGAACTTAAATTGTGATGTAATTATTTAAATTTTTTTGTATATTTTCATTGATCATCTTAAGATACATAAGATAGATGTAGAACGATGACACAAACACAATTTTCCTTATGTTTACAGGCTGTGCTATTTTTTCCGAGGGGCATGCAAATTCCTTGTCAGCCTTTTCAGTGTATGTGATTCTAACTTATAGATCCGCCGCTCTATTCGACCTATACAGTGAACATAGGATTTCTGCGATTCTGTTCTTTTAAAATTCAGTGAATGGATTAAACGCCGTTTTCAACCTTTAAAAACCCGGTGATTTGAAAAAAAAAATTAATTAAAACTTGTATCGAGAATGGATCTTAAATGTGCATATTGAATATGGGTTTGCATTTAAGGTTTAAAGATAAATAATAATTTGTGTTTATTTCTTTTCAAATATAAATATATCATCATTAAATGAGAAAAAGTAAAAATTCAGGAAAAATACTTTTGTAACCTCGACTTTAATGTTTTGAAAACGTTTTAAAAACCAAACAATTTAAACGTGAATAAAACATTTTTGAAAATGTTTTTGTTACATTTAAAAACAATGTTATGATAACATTTGTTGAAATATTTTGTAAAATGTTTTAAAAACATTTAAAAAAAACATACAAAATCACGTGATTAAAACATTGTTGAAAAATGTTTTTTATAACGTTTTAAGAAAATGTTCCGGAAACATTTGCTGAAATATTTCACTAAAATGTTTTAAAAACGTTTAAAAAACCATACAAATTCATGTGATTAAAACATTATTGAAAATGTTTTTGCAACATTTTAAGAAAATGTTCTGACAACATTTTGCTGAAATATTTCACTAAAATGTTTAAAAAACGTTTAAAAAACCATACAAAATCACGTGATAAAAACATTTTTTTAAAATGTTTTCGCAACATTTTGAAAATGTTTTAAAAACATTTTTAAAATGTTTTTGTGTTAGCTGGGAATTAATTTAACTTGCAAACTTAAGTACACTGTAGTCCCCTGACATATATAAATACATATTATGTTGCAATTCCTTTTTTTAACTTTTATTTTCTAGGCAGCAATAATACACAGACTGAAGCGGAAGTCAATAGAGATGCCCTTGTTAAGCATACATATGATAGGTTGTTTGGATGGGTAGTGAAAAAGATTAACGACAACTTGCACCCAAACAGAAAAAGGTTTGAATTTCAAGTCATATATTTTTTATTGCTATCGATATTATAGAAACCTTTTACTCTAAAGCTAGTGATGGATTGCACTGTTTTATGCTTCATAAAAAAGTAATAAATTGAAAACAAATAAAAGAAGATAAAATCCAACAAGAAGTAAACAACAATGTTCAAAGGTATAACATAGAATGATTTTTTGTCAAATTTATGTTTAGATCACGTGAAAGTACTAACAGATCGAAACCTGTCTTTCAAAAAAGAGACAATTCTGCTTTTGAAAATCTTTTTTTTCTTAGTTCAAGCTCATAAAAAGGGGAAAAAATTGTATACATTAACTACTCAATTATCATGACACATATACAGTGAAAATTGTCTAATTCGACACTTGTTCAATCCTTCTCCTTTATGAACTAATTTCGAATCGTCTTTTAATTCCTATATCGCTGTTTTCTATTCTTTGTACTCAGATATTATATATATTTATATACGATATGATTTTTCTTTCATTATTCTTTATTAAGTAAAGTTACGCCATTTTGAGAAAATGAAACACTGATTGTCGTAATTAATTAGCATAATTAATTCGTTCAATTATGTAAATCGCACTTCACCCGAGAATACCCGATTGACCGGACGCATTTCATAGCGGTCCGGATTTCTTTCTTTATTAGTGTTCTTAAAAATTTCCAAATTCAACATGTAATTAAGCATGTAAATATCTAGTGTTAAGTAGTTTAGTAGTAGTGCTAGTTGTTTTTGTTTCTTTTTTTCCTTTTGTTCTTATGACTTTTTAACTTTTTTCTTTGTCCTGAGGAAGGGACAGGGCGTCCCAAAAATTTGACAATTTTTATTGTTCGTGTCGTTGGTAATTTTTAGTGCTTATATATATATATATATATATATATATATATATATATATATATATATATATATATATATATATATATATATATATATATATATATATATATATATATATATAATTCGATCTGACACCATGTCTGTTCGAACAGAAAGTTCTTCCACTACTTTATATAAATTTATATTACAGTCACAGGAACAATGAGATGAAAGATATCGGAATATTGGATATTCCAGGATTTGAAAAACTTCAGGACAACAAATTCGAACAATTGTGCATTAATTTTGTCAACGAACAACTGCAGGTTTCTATGAATCGAATTCTCGTCGAGGAAGAACAGCGAATTTATCAATCAGAAGGAATTAATGTTGGCATTGGAGATATAAGTAAAGGGGAAACATGCGTGGTTGATATTTTTGAAATGAGGGCAAGTTATTACATTTTTATCATATATTATTATTATTTAAAACAAAAAAAAACTTTATTCGATATAAATATAACCCGTTTGAATAAAAAAAAAAACAGATGTAAAAATCACTGGGATAGAACGCACAATTCAGTTAAATGAATAAGCTTCTCGAGTTTATAGATTTGTGGCATTCACAAACTTTAAGGTTGCTCATTATATACCCCATTGCTGGAAAATGTGAGTGATATTTAAGCTAACATTGGCTAAACGATAATGAAAAGAAATATCGATAAACTAAGGAAATGCGTTGTGATTAGCAACTGTCTTATAGCACAAATTTTAGCTAAAACGAGGAACGGATTAAGAAAAAAAAAATATCCAAGACAATGTTTCCAGATTCTCAATGTAAATGGTAGCAGTAACACACAGCAGGGCTATACACATAGAAGAATATTTAAGGCAACATTGCAAAACTTTAAACATATTACAATGATATATTTTATAGTCAAAGGGACTATGGTCAACGCTGGATGACACTACAAAACTCCCCTTTGGTGATGATAGAGAATTTGTGGAAAAATTGCAATCCAATGCCAAAGACTTTGACAAACATCATATACTAAAGTTTACGAGAGGCAGAGAAACTAAATTTAGTATTCAACACTTTGCAGGCGAGGTAGGTGATAAAGTTATAATTAATAATTATTATAATTAATTCATTTGCTGGTACATCACATATGTTATACATTTTTTGGAATCATTGTTTTTTTTCAAATTTGATATTATTATTAAAACGATGACTATTATTTTCTTACACAACCAAATTCAATCAGACATAAAACTTTTAGATTTGGTATAACTGTGAAAACATTCTTGAAAAAAATCGAGATAAGCTGACCGAAGGACTAGAAGAAAAAATGAAGAAAAGCCGTGAAAAAGTGATAAGATCCTTGTTTTCCGCCGACAAATCAATCACTGGCACATTCTCTGTGTAAGTTTCCATGCTAGAAATTTTATACATGAAAGTTTTTGGCAAAGACATTATCTTACCATATCGGTATTATGCCTTTTCTTCTATAGTGAGACAGATATTGTTTTGATCGATTAGCTTTTATAGCTCACCAGAGCCAAAAACATGAAACATAATTTAAATATATTTACATGTACCTGTATCTACCTGAAATGTACAGCTGTATAGTGACTACATTTAAAAAAAATCGTTATTAAAATCCTTAACTTATTAATTATAAGACGCTTTTTGCTTTTAATTTGCTTTAATGAATGGTATTTGTGTTCAAACCAAACATGCAACATTCTGATTGATTTGTAGCACACTAGCAATGGAACAATTCTCTAGCAAAGAAATGGTGTTTGAAAAGCAGTGAGTACAGAATGTATCGAAATCTAAGGAAATAATTCATTCTCAGTATTGATTGTGTATAAATTTGAAACGTTCGATGAAAAAAAAAATCTATTAGAACAAGAGTAATTCAAATTTCTGAGAAATTTAATAAATAACTTGATAAATAAAATGATATTTAATTCTTTTTCAGGAATCATATCGGGAAAAAGGGAATCCATGGACCTAAATCTCACAAAACAGTCGTTAATTACTACAGGGTATCCTGAGAGTCTTGTACAGCACATTATCTGACAGAGAGTTTAAATGATTTTTTTTTTCAAATTAATATAAAAACATTTTTACAATGATCTCTGCAAAGAATTTCTAGGAGTATTTCTTAAACACAATCCAACATGTTACATTTATGAAACTATTTTATATTTTTACATGTAGTATTGCATTAATTTTTGTTTTCCGTATAATACAAGAATCTTTTTGTTTATTTAAAGGAGAACTGGTTGGAAAGACACATTCATAATCATGAATAACAATATGAAAATATTTAATTTAATTTTTGTGACATGTAAAATGTGTTTTGAATTAAATCTAGGAATCGGTGAAGGAATTGAATAGAAAACTGAAAGAGGCGACACCACATTTTGTAAGGTAAATAAATTGTCTTTTAAGAGAAATAAATATATATTTGAAATATAAGCCCTTTAGTATTGTCGTATGTTAATTCACTAATGATATATTATTGCCTGAAAACAACATTTCAGATGTATAAAACCAAACGAAGAACTTCGGCAGGACCATTTTGATGCCCCATTTGTCGGAAAGCAGTTGAAATACAATGGCATTTATGAGCTTTCGAAATATAGAAAAAATGGATTTCCTGTCCGGATGAAATTCAAAGACTTCTTTGACAGGTTAATTACTATTAAACTGCATGCGTAAAATGTTTATCTTATTAAATACATGAAAAGACAATTGACGTTTTCTACGCTTTGAAAACTGTTTTTCAAATTAATTTTCTATTAATGTTAAGACGTATCAATAAGTGAGAGTAGATGAGATAAATATTTTTCAGCTTTAAGGTTTTAACTCATTTTTCCTCCGAATTTACCGATAGGTCTTAGAAGTGCAAATAATATGTCCATGTGAAATCTTCTTTAATTAAAGTATTAAATATTCATAGACCATATGAAATTATTGCAAATCTTTGTTTTTGTTGAAGATAGAATATGAGGATGCAGAATTAAAATGTTTTCCCGAATTTTCTAAATTCTCGTGTAACCTCCTAAAGCTAGGTTCACTTTATGCATAAAATGGTCATGTACTTACATCAATTAATTTACTATCATCCTCTTTCCCATTTCATATATCAAAATAAAGTAGATATTTGGCACTTTCATTTCCTACAATAAAATTTCTTTTTGAGAAACCATATTTGAAAACAGGTTTTGAGAAATTGCGATGTTCTTTAGATCTGTAGAAAACATGCATATTTGAATGCCTTCTTGTGCTCTTTATGAAATATTGAGAAAAAATACGTCAAATATATGCCATTTTCAAAGTAGTTTACAGGATAAGAGGAAAATGACGCATTATATGACGTCATAATGTATTGACTAGAAGGAAAAATACGTCATGGTTGATAGATGCGTGGTCACAAACACTCCAAGTGATTAATACTGCATTTGCAACCTTAACAGAGCGCTTTTGTTTTTGTTTTTTCAGAAATTCTCAGAGCAAAATAAGGCCCAAAGTGGCTTTTGCTCTTTGAGGTACTTTTCGCTTCTTAAAAGATAGAGCACAAGCTTGTCCATCTAAGATTTTTACAAACAAGATGCATATGATACCACTGTATTAAAGATGTAAATTTGGTACATAGACAAGCTTGTTTTCTATTTTTTTTTTTAAAACGAAATATGCTGTAAGTTGATTAAAACTTGCATTTTAATGAGAAAATTCGGAAATTGGCATATTATCTTACCTTTCTGTGATCTCCTTAAATCCCATAACTAAGGGGAATACGCATTTTGTGGGAGAGGTGATAAGTGGTTTCAATTTATAAAATGTTTCATCATTTTAAAAGACACCCCAAACCAGGGGCCAAAAAGGGGTTTTCCCTATCGTGTCTTCTCACGTGCAGACAGTCTTACATAATTAGGTGAAAATAAAGTTGAATGAATAAGAATATATACTTTGTAGAACTTAATACTGATTACGTATTTATCGAAATTGTTTTAGGTACAAGATAATCTTGCCTTCAAACCATACAAATGAAGCTGGGGATGACATTGCAGCTATGATAGATGGCTTACTTAATTCTCAGCCTGAGTTGAAATTGAATGGTTGCTTCAAAGTCGGAAAATACATGGTATATTACAATGTATAATGTTCTTTTGTTGACCAAATTTATTAAAAGAAAGTCTTTGTGATAATCGAATTTTATTTGAATTTCGAAGTACAATAGTTGTGGTTATTATATATATTCCTCAAAGACCAGAATTACAAAGTTCCCAAAGTTACGTATTGCTGATCAAATTACGCTAATTTTAGAAAAAAAATGAAGAAAAGAAACTAGAATCAAGATTTTTTTTTATTATTTGAAGTTAAGGTAGTCCGATCTCCAGGTTTATAAAATTAGCAATTAAGTAATCAAAAATACTCATTCGAGTATCTCTGAATTCACAAAGTTATGAGAATTTATCCACAGTATTTCTTTAAAGTTAAAGATTAAAATTAGGGAAAATTGTCAAATCTTTTTGCAGAAAAAGTGAATTCGAATACAAGCAATGCATTTTCTAATTGCAAATTGATCAACTAATATATTTAAGGTTAAAAAAGAATAGGTATCCAGTCATTCAGAAAAATTGTCATGAATTTTTTACTTATTTGGTATGTTTTGTCATCTTTTTCCGTCATATGTTCTATAATGCATAATGTAAAAGGCTTATGATATCACTGCAAGACATTAAGGAGGGCATTAATTTTTTCCCCTTTGGTATGGTAATATTATGATCTTTTCTTAGACTTCCAAAGACCTTCAATCTTGTAATCTTGTAAAGATGAATAAAATGAAAGTTGTTGCATGAAAAAATTTCACTTTCCAGCCTCATTTTGATGCATTTTAATTTTAATATAACTTTTTGGAGTTATCATTCCTGGCTTAGGAATGAATATCCTTAATTTCTTTTTAATGATCTCATGCAGATTATTTCAATTGTGTTTGAATACAGTTCATAAATTTTATACGATAATTTTAAAAAAAATAAGAAATGCATGGGGAAAAATTTAAATAGGTGCAAATGTTTTTTTTTCTACAAAATTTGGCCCATAAGGATAAAGATATTATTATTATTTTTTTTTACATAAAAAGATAATTACGATCTTTTTACACTTTGAAGAATTGAATATTTGTTCAACTCATATCAAGATTGATTAAATGTAAGTCTCCATATACCGATGAAGGAGTTAAAAAAAAAATTGTGCATCTTCTAAGCACTCACGGCCATCGAGTAATGAGGTTTTTTTCAAGTCAAACTCTACCCTAACACGGAGCCTTGACTTTTAAAGTTTCGGGACCCGCAACTTTCACTTGGAGGTGCCGAGTGCATTGCAAAAGAACAATTACTACTCATTTTATATGACCTTATTCAGTCGCAGCCGAGATTCGAACTTACAATTAGCGATCACGGAGCAAGTGCTCAACCGACTGAGCTTTCATGACGGTCTTCAAAAATTGAAAATAAACATATATAGCTCCATGCATAGAGAATGATGTTCATCCATTTTTGAAATCGAAAATATACATGCATAGCTCCGGGCATAAAGATTGTTGTTTATTCATCTTAGAAATTTGCTTCTAATCAAAATTGCGTAAGTCATCTTTAAAGAACGTTGGTTTGTCATCTTTTAACCCAGGAAAAAAAATGGTCGTCAGATTGATATAACGATCTAGAAACTTTCAATATCAGTGGGAATTTCTCAATTCTCAAGTTCTTAATTTATTGCCAGAAAAATGTGCAATTTTTCAGTAGCTATTGACGTGATAAGAAAATTCTTAAAGGAATAAAAATAATCACTTCTTAAGTTCAAAATAAAAAAGTTTAGTCTGGAGAGAGTCACATAACATTTTGTAAGCCTGTAATACATGTAAATCGAGGAAAGATATAGGCTTGTTGTTATATTATGGTACGTGTTTATTACCAAATAAATGACAAATGAGAGTACAAGTACGACTGATTCTTAGTTGAGGGAGTCTTAGACCTGAACCTCTGATTGCAAGGCAGACTTTTAAGACATTGATGACTTTTGGTTCCAAAAGTTCCAATAATTCAACCGTCAAATATTTCTATTATCTACTGAATTCTTATACTGCACTTCATTTTTTTATATTCATTGATAAATGTTTTACTTTAAAACTTATCATACAGGATACGATTATATATATATAACAAACACAATAATTCATTCTAACGTAAACTTGGAATATGCTGGACAAGATGTAACAAAAATTTTTCAGTAGAAATTATGCTTTACGAATTCATTTTTTTTCGCACGCATATAAAATATTTTATTATCCTTCAGAATGATTCAGTAAATCTGATTGTTTTAGTGCATATCACGTGATGTGTGACAATTCGTGATGTTTCCCTCATGCACAGGGTGACAACTGTTGTCACCCTTCAAACGACAATGAAATAGCTTAAGCAAGCATGCACTGTTACAACTGTGTTTTTGTCCTTGAAATTAAATTACAGAGGTTTAAGCGAGATAACTCTTATTTATACATGTATTTGCTAAACTTACCGGATCGATAAACAAAAAAATCTAACTCTAGACGATGACGTCAAAGTTGTCTGTTGACATATTTTGAAAGTATGGAATAAAAGTAGTGTAAAAAGAGGTTTGATTACTATTTTCTACTTTATATTCTTCTTCTTAACTATTTTCTTTTTTATAATTTAGATTTTTCAGGATAATAAAGCTATTATGGACTATTTAGAAAAGAGACATCACAAGTAATAAGGTCTGAGTAGGGTTGTCATCCTCAAGCGCTAACGCCGTCGGATGACAACCCTACTCAATCTTGTTAATTGGTGATGTCTCCCTTCAAAACAGTCTATAATTGTATATTAAATCATTGTGATAAAATTTGATCAAGGTTTACTATCATAGGTGTTCATGAAAGAGGAACTGAGCAACTTCATCGAGAAGCTTTTGAAAGAGGAAGAAGATCGAAGAAAACGGGAAAGGGAAAAGAAATTGATGGAGGAGAGAAGAAAACGGGAAAGGGAAAAGAAATTGATGGAGGAGAGAAAACAGAGGGCGAAAATCGAAGAAGAAGAGAAGTTAAGGAGAGAGAGGGAGGAAATGAAGACAGAGCAAAATTCAGACACAAACAGAGAAACGAGAGAAACTGTATGAATCAATAGCAAATTGACAAGCAAGATTTATTTGCATAGTTTGATAGTTTGATATATATTATAGGAATTTTTATTAGAATACACATGTAAAAGAAATATTACCGTGTTTCGTAAGGCAGATATTTAATGTAGCACTTGACGCTAAATGCTTGTTCTTCAGGGGGAGTCGGAAGACGAAGAAGTAAAACCAAAAGAGAAGCTCGGACTCTCCACTCCCATTCATATAGAAGCTGAATGCATTCGGCTGTCTTCATCCAATTCTGAACGTGTACGTAGTAAAGACAGACAAAAGGTACATGCACAAGACTCGATGCATTTTTCCCCAACAAAGAGTATGCTCATATACAAGATAAACACATTTATTATTTCTTAAATACATGTACATGCATATTATTTCTGATCCTACTGTCTACAGGTGTATCTCATAAATTATTGCAAATATATAAAATGTAAACAAAATTCATTCCCATGTTATTTTTGGAATTTAAATAAAATAAAAAACATTGAACAAATATTCAGTCCAAGATAGAGAAGCAATTGACTTTTTATTAAGGTCCAACGCCAAATTATTCTTTTTCCAAAATTATTAACGGGTGATTGCATCTAGACAAGGATTTCTACAAAGTTACTTAAAACTGTAAAACTATTAGTAGTTGGTCAAGTGGTGATATGGATAAACCTTCGTTTGTTTGGCTCCAGCTGTTCCCCAATTTCATGTAATAATTCAATTACACATTCCTTTCTAAAGCGAAATCTGTCAATAAATTTTTCTGAATCATTCAAAAAAGGATTTGTCCTGTCTCTAACCACTTTTTCTCGCCTGATAAATCTTTCCACTTAATAAATTTGGTCTATCTCATCAAAATAATACGCCATCATTTATAAACCTTCCTTTAAACCTGCCCTTTACCTGGTTTATATTAAACCACAATGCTAAGCTCTACTCAGATAAATCAAAGAGGTCTGCAAGTGATTTGATAATTTTGAACGTAACTTATGTCTAGATTATCTTGAGCCGGGGGTAACCCAAACCATGTACAAGTGACAATTAAAGTCAGTTTCACACAAATTCTATATATGGTCGTTATGACCTTGTTTTTAAATATAACCTTCCATTGGGTCGTAAATTGCCTGAGATTTCATTGCTTTGTTTTTTCTATGGAACATTCCATACACCTAATCAATGCAATGGGTTCACAGAGGAAGTGAATGTAAACAGGGCATTCTTAATTCCCCAAGGTACCTTAACACCCATCTGTTGTTTTGCCTTGTTCATGATTGGTTTATTTACAAAATATCCGAGATTGATCAAACCTTTCACACACAAAAGCATAAGGTTACAAAAAAGTTTGATAAGATCATAACCGGCCAGATCACAATAAAGGACTACATATAACATGCAACAAAAGTAAAAAAGACAAAAAACTGTAATTTTTCAAAGAGATATCAGGACCAATTAAACAGATGATGTTACAATTTTGTCTAATTGAATGGTAAATAATCTAAGCGTGACCTCCTAAGACAGGTCCGGGAGATAGTTTAGGAAAACCTTTTTCTTTAATTTTATAGCATTCACTATGAAATGCATGATATAAGTCTCTATGTAGAAAAGATCAAACCACGTGATACTGTGTATTCAAATTTTAATTAATGAAAATCTTGGACCTTGATTCTATGTCCAAAAAATATCATTATATTATACGTCTTGAGGATAATCACTTAGAAAATGGTAACCAGTATAAGATTTGTATGTCAACGGATGCATTTTATTTTGTCAGTCTCAGGGCAATGAGGAAATACAACTGGAAGCGATAGAAGAAGATACAGAACCAACAGCTGATAATAATCAAAACAGCGAAGAGGTATTGCTTCCTGGCAATATTGATATATATATGTACTTTGTTTCCTCTTTTTATTTACAATGAATGTGTCAGTTTATTACTACAACAGTTTAAAATGCAAAGAAACTTAATTAAGAATATCTATTTACAAGAGATCGACAATCGAAATGCTGACAAACTGCATCATTTGCTTACAAAATTAGAATATTTTTTTCGAGTTCGATAACTCATAACAAACATATCTTTAATTACATATTTAATGTGCAGTGCAACCTGTCGTAAGGTCGTATTTGTATGACGTTGCATGCCGACTGTAAGTTCATTGCTTTGTTTTGTCTATGGAACATCCTCTGTTCCTAATCAATACAAAGGGTTCATAGCAGTTGTGAAGGTCAAAAGGGGATTCTTACTTCTCCAAGGCACCTAAACCCTATTTTTATTTACCTTGTTCACGATTAATTTAACCTACTGAATATCTGATATCAATAAAACCTTTCACACCCAAAAACATAATTTACAAAGTAGGACTTCCATGCAACAAAAGTAAAATTCAAAGTGTTTTTCGTCTTAACGATGCCAGGACCAATCAAAAATATAAGCTTACTTTTTTTCTCTAAGTGAATGGTAATTAAAGTATAAATTTCAGTGTGACCTCCTAGAAAAAATCTGGCCCCGTGGGGATCCGAGTTAGAATAGGTCCTCAGTATCCCCATGCTTAATGTCAAAGGCGACTAAATGGGGCGGTCCTTCGGATGAGACCGTATAAACCGAGGCCCCATGTCACAGCAGGTGTGGCACGATAAAGATCCCTCCCTGCTCAAAGGCCGTAAGTGCCGAGCATAGGCCTAAATTTGCAGCCCTTCACCGGCAATGCAGACGTCTCCATATCAGTGAAATATTCTGGAGAGGGACGTTAAACAGTATACAATCAATCAGTAGGACAAGTCTTGGAGATGGTTACTTTTATTTAGAATTTCATAACAATCACAATAACATGCAGGACCTTAATTCGATGAGCAAAAAGGATCATTGTGACTTACCTCTATCACTACCAATGGGGAATAGTAACCAATATAAACATTGTATGGCAATAGATGCATTTTATTTTGTCAGTATCAAGACATAGAAGAAACACTAGAGGTACTGTGAGCAATGGGCTCACTAAATGATACCCCCGCCTCCCATATGTGTATAAATGGCAGTGTCCATGTTTTGCTATGGGAAACCCAAAATATGTGTCGGATTAAAAGTAAAATAGGAGGTGCACAATAGCAATATGTAATAAAGATTCTCTGAAAGTTTCATAAAATTTCATTCAGTGGTATAAGAGGAGTTGTAGATAAGAGATGGGTATCCCAAAGCGTAACAGACGGTCGGACGTACGGACCGACATCCCAATTACTATATACCCTCCCGCTTTTCAAGCGGGGGTTATAACAAATGAAAGATCATACAGAACCAACAGCTGATTCTAATCAAAGCAGCGGAGAGGTATTGCTTCTTGGCAATATTGATACATACGTACTTTATTTCATCTTTTTTATACCACCTGCTTGAAAAGGGGAGGGTATACTGTAATTAGTATGTCCGTCCGTCCGTCTGTCGTCAGTCAAGCTCTACGTCCGTCCGTCCGTCCGTCTGTTACGCTTTGGGGTACCCATCTCTTATACCACAGAATGAAATTTAATGAAACTTTCAAAGAATCTTTGATAAAGAGTGGCCATTGTGCACCACCTATTTTACTTTTTGATCAGACACATATTTTGGTTTTCCAGGCTACAGCACAACAGGGATATTGTCATCAGTTATTACCACATGGGAGGCGGGAGGTATCATTTAGTGAGCTCATTGCTCACAGTACCTCTTGTTTTAATTTATGTTTATTACTACTACAGTTTAAAATGCTAGGAAACATAATAAATTATATCCATTTATTTAAAATCGACATTCGGATTTGCTGTAAAAAGGCATAATTTGCTTACAAATATATTTTTTTCGAGTTAAATAACTTTAAACAAAATTTAATTTATTGCAAAAAGGATATTATTGTTATTTCTTTTCATTTAAAAAATAATAAAGAAACTAGAGGTACTGTGAGCGATGAGCTCACTAAATGATACCCCCGCCGCCATATACTAGTAGTTTTAATGGCAAAATCCATGGTTTGCTGTGGCCGGAAAACCCAAAATATGTGTCGTATGAAAAAGTTAAATAGGAGGTGCACAATGGCAATATGTAATGAAGATTCTGTAAAAGTTTCATTAAATTCCATTCAGTGGTATGAGAGGAGTTGCGGATAAGAGATGGGTACCCCAAAGCGTAACAGACGGACGGACGGACGGACGCACAGACGGACGGAATTAACGATTACTATATACCCTTCCGCTTTTCAAGCGGGAGGTATAATAAATTAAATTACTTTGAAGGAAACAAATGATGAAGATGGTAATGAAAGAAGAGATGACAAGAGACCATCCCCTTCAACAGATAAAAAGGAGTAAGATGCACAAGAAAAATAAAAATAATTTGATAAATAGGCTATTTAAAAACTTTTTACATTCTTTTTAAAGTATTTTTGGCCAAAAACAAAAAAAAAATGCATCTCAGGCATTGTAGCAACCGCTGATGTTAGAACGCCACTCTATGATACAACATCATAAAGCATCGCAACATCAACACTTAAGGTACATTGATACTCTGGTAAGAGAGATAACTCTTAATTACACAAATATCTATAATTTCTTTATAAATTTGTCAAGCGTAAGTGTCTTTTTTGTCAAATTTTAACCTGCAAAGCATGCTATAATTTTTTTGGCATTTTATTGAGCATATACATTTCCTTTGGAAAATCATAAAAGTTAAAAAAATTCATATAAGTGAGAGGAGGGTTTATGAACCTAAATGCCATAAATTACTGCATCAATAGATGACCAATTTTACCTGTAATCCTAAATCGCTGCCAAATGTAAGAATTATATCAATTTTAATATATGCTTAGTGGATGAGCATGTAACCAATGAACGCAATCATTTACGTCATTACATGTAATGATAGCATTGTGTTAAAGTGAAATTTTGTGTGAAATTGTTTGTATAATTAATGCTTGATTTATATTATCTTAATCTTGTTGATTTGTAGTAATTGTTCTAAGCTACAGACTGCAGTGATCTGTTTATGTGATAAGGTCTTGACCGCTCATTAAGATTTGGCTGGGAAATTTAGCTCTTGTATCAGCATTGCTGACTTTTATCACCCGAGTCTCAGGGGGATTGAATGTCCGAAGTGCTGGCCATGAGAAAATGCAGAATTCATAGTGTTCACAATTAACGGGTTAATTTAGCAGTGATTGACAGTCTGTAGGTTGGGCAGTTCTTAATATTTAGCGTAGAATTTGTGTGTTCAATTAGTTACTCAGTCGGGTCCTGTGTGTAAAGTGTTACACGGGAATACAAAATAAACTTTGTTGGAAACTTTGGGCGTTTTTATTTAAAAACAGAAAGTTTCGGTGTAACACATTGCAACACTTAATGACATTAACTGGCTATATATCATAAGCAGTTTCTACAATGCATCTATGTATTGCAATATCTTTTTTGATTAGAAACATGTATTTTATCTATATATTTTTCTTTCATATCGATTTAGAAATAAAAGTGAATTAAAAAAAAATTAACATTTTTATTGTAGTTTATTCAGAATAAAGCTTATACTCAAAATTATTAAAATTTTCTCATGCCTTATGCATTTTACTTTAAATGATAAATAAATATTTTGCAGGGTTTGGGATACCTTCCAAATTATGGACAAAGAAAACCAACGCGTCGATGTTCACACACATACCAGTTTTCGCATTATAAAAATTCTATTATACATGTTTCTGTTCCTCATCTTGCTGGCCTCACTTGTAATACAGAAGATAAGTCTATTAATTGCTACATCAAAACTTAAAAAAATCAACCCTGCAAATGCAACTGGAAATGATACCATCGAAAACGAGGTAGGTGTATTTTATTAAACAGCATCTACATTTAAGAAAGGAAATTAAATTTTACTTTCTGCAAAATAGTCAGTGAGTTAATTTTTAATAATTAAGACTTGCAAATAGATACTTTTATTTTTTAATGTAGGTTTTGCGTACTGTATCATAAAACTTCATATTCTTGCAATGCATGTATTTCGTAAACTAGATTTCAAACCCAGGGGTTCATAGTCTTCTGCTAGTGTTCGTGATATGTACTCCATATGTTATGACATTTCTTGCAAGCTGCTGGAAAGTTTTCTTTGGAAATATAAAACGGCCTTCATTGACAACAATCCTCATGGTAATTTTAAAATTATTTTAATAAAAAGCAATATAATCTAAATTGATATAATGATCTGTCATATATTGATATGATAATAAAACTAACATAAAGAATTTAAATTAATTGCAGTGTGCGGGTATAGAAGTGCTACATTCAATTGGGTTGTGTGTGCTAGTGTTTAAACTCTTGCCTGATCTAGGATCTGTACAAAGGATATGTCTTTTGAGTGCTACAGTATTACTTCCGAGCGTTTTCAAATTATTCTCAAATCGGGAATCGCAATCGCTTAAGAATAGAGGGAAATTGGGAAAACTCATGATTATAATTTTTGATATACTGGCAATTGTCATGCAGTTATCAGCGATTCTTTTTCTTCTTCTCCCGTTTTTCAAGTTTAAGCCAGAATCAAATAAACCAGGAAATTCAAACAAAACGCAAGTACTCGACAATGGTATTTTCAGTGAACTTTCCACAGATTTAAGTTGGTACTTCAAGGTATTACTATCGTTACTTCTCTGCTCCGTATCATGGTGGGAAAATTTTGTACTTGAAAAGGCATGCTGCCGGAAGGTTGCTGAACAGAGTATCCTTAAAATTAGAGATGACTTGCAGGAAAGGCGTCCTTACATATACATTATTGTTTCATTCCTTAAAACTGCCACCACCGTTTTCTTTGCACGGCTTCTTGTTGGGGAATACATGGGATTATTAAAAGGTGAATTCTGGTCTAAAGTAACAGATTACAAAAATGTTACCCTCTTTTCGGATATCATTGCTCTCATCGTATCCAGTTTTGTGGGATATTATACCGCATACACTTCCTGTAAATTACAGATGCAGAGAATTTCGTTCTCTCTACCTTGTCTGCTTTCAACCCCAGTTTTTATTGCAGTTTTAACGTATTACTGTAAAACGGGAGAAGATTTTATTTCGTTGTTTTCCACTAACAAAATAGATTCTAATTGCGACAACGAAATGTTTGGCAATCGAATGCATGTTCTGATCTCTGCAGTTTGGCTTTTATCCCTGTATTGGGTTGGTCAACACATATGGTTTCCTTCTCAAGAGCGTCTGGCTAAAGCTACACGGTAAGACTGCCTATTTAATTGTATCTTATAATAGATAATTCATTAATAAGTTCACGCTTGATTTTTCGTTATCATTTTCATTAACAGGCTGTTTGTAAATCCACTTTATTGTGGGATATTGCTTGAACAACATTTGGTGATGAATAGAAGACGAAAGCAGCAGAAAATAAATAAAAAAGGAAAAAATGAAAATAACAAGGAGTGTGTGTACATGTAAGTTATCATTTGTTACTGCATATGAAACACCTAAACTCTTTCAAAATAACATGATTTCGTAAATAATTGTTTTAAACATGCAATAACCATTGTCATCAAAAAAAAAGGATGGGAAACGAGTTCTAAATAACTATAACTATAACTATATATATATATATATATATATATATAATTACAATTATATTATGTCGTGCAAAAATAAGAATAATACAATTGATACATGATAAACGAGATACGAGTGGTGATCAAAACATCTCGCAAATTATCTCTATATATATCTAGAAAACCACGATTCAGAATATAATGAAATTCAGTACACACATAACCATACACAACTTCTATAAATAGCATATGCTGAATAAATTTTCTCCTTGTTTGTGACGTCATAATGTGAAAATGACGTCACTATTTAGGTCACTTGTGACGAAAAATGGTCTCAGTCGAACTCGTTCAACAAACGACTGTAAAATTTATTGAATTTCTTAGAAATCCCTCTACAGTATCATATAATAATTTGTAGACAGTTTACTGAGATAAATAAGTTCCTATTAATTCAATTAATGATTGGATTAATCGTTTTAGTGAAGGAAGGCTGATGGTTGAAAATGATACTTGTCATCTTGCCCAGTGAAAGCAAGTTTGAAAAAATATGTATTTTTAATTAAGCAATTTGCAATCAAAGACCTCCAAATAACACTTTGAAAAATATTTGAACAATGATATAAGTATTAAATACCTTAGATATCGTTTACTTTAGATTTTAAACATATTAGATATGATAAAAAGGATGCACTCATTCTCTATCCACTTTGAATAAAGGTCTCTCCTGAGACAGTAGATTTGTGTTTTAATGGTCGCCATGCTTATTTTTGGAAAGGATATCATTATCTACCCATTCTGTTGCCGAGATATGGCCATTTCTGACAAATGAACCATTCTTGTCATAAAAGTTAACTCACATGGAAAGAAAAATAAAACTCAGAAAAATCTTTCAATTTTTGTGACAGGACGCTACGGAGAGGGTCACGTGACCGCCAATATCACGTGATTCGCGCATGCGCAGAACGGTGGTTCATGTGCATTAAAATCGGGGAGGGTTAATTTAAAATATAATCAACATTAAAACGAAATATTGTTTCTTGTATGGAAGTTATTCAATTAGTTTGCGAACTTTTTGATCACCCCTCGTACAATTTAATGTAATATATCATTATGAGAAGCTACATGTTTCGTCCATACATTCATGAACAGCAGCACAAATACCACATTATAATAGATTTATATCAATAGAAACTAAAATAAGAATGACCAAACGATTAAAAGACTACTACTAACATTAGAATGATGTGTTCAAATTAGAAATTGTACACACCTTCTTCTTTCAACAAAAACATAATGGACTACTTTCAAAGTTTCGTTTATTTGAATCATGGTAAAATATACAATAATGTCTGAACTTTGTATGAATGATAGTTGTGTTTACCAAAGGAAAAGTATGATGATGGAATATTAATTTTTGCTATCAAGTCTTTACGAATCGTCACTAAATCAAAGTAAATATAAGATATAAACAAATGCTTCTAAACAGGGGGCAAACAAAAGAAAGTAAACTTTTTACCAAATTTGATATTTACCTTTGTTGATTACCGATCTTATTTCTGTTCAAATTTTCATCAGTTTTAAAGAAACTCATTAAACAAAAAAGAAAAAAAAAAAAAAAAAACGTAAGACTTGCTTGTCTTCTAGACGTATTCATTTTATGTACAGTGTACCTTAAAAATATATATTGGCGCCTCGTTAAACTGGACGCCTACATCCCACACGAAATCATCAGGATAAATGAATCGTCCAGAGTAAATTACCTCTCTAAGCATGTTTGTATACACCAAGTGGTCATCAAATTTGAAGATAAAGAAAAACGTATGTGTTTAATGTTATTTGTTGTTTCATTTTTTTTTATTTTGAAAAGGAATATTTATTTATATCTTAAAAAAGAAGAAAAAGAATTTTTTTTAAATTGAATTATACGACGAAAAATAAATTGGCAATTTGATGTTGATTTTACCTTTTTCAACACTACTTGCCTTCTATTTCATGTGTGTTAAAACACTGATCAAATCAGTTTCTGTTTTATTTTGTTTATTCAAGCTGATTTTACAAAGAACGGTTCATTTTAATCAATGATAAATGCACAACCCGCTTAAATATTCATTTCAATGATAAGTTCAAATAACTGAACACTCTAAGCTAAGGCGCATACTCAGTGTAGGTTGTTAACATTCAACGTAAACCAGTCCAGATTAATATTTTTTCTACAATCTCTCTAAGTATTATACCTTGACACGTGAAGCGTGATCGGCATTTGTAACTCACGCCAGTTACATATTTCTTTTATGTTCATCTATAAAATGAGAAAAAAAAATTAAGTAGAAATATTCTCTTGAATTGTGTATCCTTATGAATCGTTGTATATAAAGAAAGAAACTTAATGTTCTACGTTTTGAGAAATGCAAAATGGTATTTTCATAAACTATAGCATCAAGACCACAACAAAATCATTCTACTTACAACTCGGCTATGTTAAGGAACGATATGGAAAATGTGACCTTTGCACAATTTAAATATGTTTTACTTCTTTCAAAAATTTGTAACAAAACATCTGAATACTGGTAGAATATATAATATAGCTTTCAATGATGGATAGAACTGGGGCGTAGTTATTACCAGTTACAGTAAAACACGTTTAGTACGAACACGGATATAGCGAATTCACGGATATAACGAAGTTTTTCTGGGTCCCCAGCAAAATTCTAAACAAATCTTTGTAAAATTTTACGGTTATAACGAACTCTGATAAAACGAATTTACGGATATAGCGAACTGATTTTGAGTCCCGTTGAAGTTAAATACAATAAATTTTACAGCTTTTATAACGAACTTTCAAAGATTTCAAAATTTGAATAAGTGAACTGACTTTATTTTCTCTCAGCATTAATATATAAAATTCAATTCATAATAAAACCTTAGTTATCGAAGGTATGTTTTGTAATATTTGCTTCCCTAACATATTTGATAGTAACATTTGAAGGAAAACATGCATATTGCGAATTCGCTATATATGGTTATACGAATTCGTAATACATATATAGCGAATTACGGATATAGCTAATTAAAGTAACAGGTCCCCAGGACTTCGCTATAACCGTGTTTTACTGTACATCGCACGTATCACCTGTTGGTCACCTGACTTGTATAAAAATAGAATTGTTAAGCTGAATCTAGGAAATGGGGATAGTGCAAGGGCATACGCTTGTTTTTCAAGAAAAAAATTGATACACATTAAAAGAAGTTCATTTCCTCTACCCAAAAAGTGATGGGAGCTAGTCAGTGCTGTTTGCAAAGTACTTCAAATTTTGCCGAAAATGCTTATAATAGCTAAAAATTTCCACTTAGCTTAAATTCTGTCATAAATAAAAAATAATGTTATGCAGAACAGGATCAGCTCCCAGCATTTTTCAAAATATACACTATATAAGCAATAAATATTCCAGATTTCATCTCAAACAAAATAGTCTGTGCCCTTGCACTTTTGATATAAATCACGAATACGCTCATCATTTTAGCGATGTTCTCTCTCTATATATACATTCCCTATCCATGTGCAGCTTCAGTGCTACTAGATAAATTCATATTCTATACACATTGGATTTAATAAATTATTTTCTTTTAGTTTTAATGATTAGGTTTAAAAATTAGCAATGGTATCATATTTATTTATGCATTCTTGTAATTATTAAACCAGTGAATCTAGTCCTCTGTATCAACTAGGCTGCGTCATGTCAAGCCTGATGACGTCATATTTGACGAAAGGCTTTCTTGTATTACTTGAATGTAGTGCTATCAAGTATTGTGATTTTGCAAGATTTTATAAATAATCAAGTTGTTATTTATGCATGATTATGTCGTTAATTAATTTTTGTGGCTTGTTAAATTTCAATGACGTCACAATTAAACTTCCAATACGATATACAAGGAATGTGAACTCTGACCTTCCTTAACATAGCTGAGAACTCTTCATTATTTTGATTAATCTGTTGAACAGTTAGCAATTAATTCTAAACTAAATGGATTTATCGCAAGTGAGTTCAGGCTAGATATGAGTTTTCTATGCAAATGAGCTAATAAAAATACATAAACTATATATTTTATGTACAGAGAAAGTTCAAATTGATTTTCTTATACATACTTAGTACCCACAGTATATTATTGCAAGTGCACATTATGACGTCATATTATGACGTCAAAGTTCTTTCCCATTCAAGGTAATAAAACACGTCAATAAAACAACATCGGCGCAAGGGCATATCCTATTTAATTTAAAATAAATAAAGTATAATATTAAGGAAAATATTCTATTTTAACTAATAAAATTGCTGCACAAATCCTATCCTCTTCTTAAATCGATAAAAATATTTACTAAACTTACACTGGACTGTACATTTTTAACCTGTTTCAACTTAGAACTGTGCAAATATTAACTAAAAAATTGCAGCGTGGACATTTGTGCAGCAATATCTTAGGTTATCCGATCCTCAGGTTCTGAAAATCAGTTATTAATTGAAAATGCTCACAAAAATGTCCCTAAATTCTCATATTAAAATGTATTTACCCACGGTGTTTCTTTAAACTTCATCTTTAAATTTAATCATATTATGTAGGGAAAATTAGTAAATTTCAAATATTTTTTTTCGGAAATGCGATTTGAACTACCTACTGCATATTTTTTAATTGATAATTGATCAAGAAATGCATTTTAGGAATAAAAATCATAGGTATCCAGGCTTTTAAAGAAAATTGCATGAATTTTACACTTATTTAATACTCTACTTTCTCCTTCTTACTTCCATCGTTTCATAATGCAAAGTGTATGAAGTGTTTCCTTTTAAAGAAAATACCGTTAATCACTTCTAATTTCAAATCATATTTATAAACATTGGTATCTAAGGCTTAATTTAAAGAAATTTGATTTTTTTTAAAAAGGTTTATATAATTTTATGAGGTACAAATGTCAATTTTTTTCATACCGTTTGTTAAAACTTTAAAGAACATTGAATCAAATGTAGAGGCATAAAATGAAAATTGTTGCATGAAAAAAGTTCAATTTCAATCTTTATTTTAAGACTTTTTGAATTAAATTATAAATTAAAGAGTTATCCTCCCTGGCTGTGGATCGTATATCCTTAAATCTTTGGAATATTCTGCTCTTCTTTATACCTTGTTTCTGTAAAACAAAGTAAGATATGCCCTTGCGCCGAAGCGATTTTGTTGATGTTTCTTATAAACTTGTGTAGTAAAGGTCGATGACGTCATAAATGACGTCATAATGTGTACTGGCAGTCGCATATCGTGGGTACCAAGAATGTATAAGAAAACAAGTCTTAACATTTTCTTTGCGGTATGTATAGCAATAATGGGTCTTAATTAATTATTTTGCATAGAAAACTCCATACGTAGCCTTAACTCACATTCATATACTAAATTCATGCAAATTATTTATGCTAAATTCTTGCAGCATCGTAACCTATAAGACATGTACTTTACACATTGCTTTATTGTGGGTAAACACTAGACTCAATTGTTTAGAGGTCACGGATAACCGCCTTCAAACTGACTTCACGGACATTGGTCATCAATGCGAGATAGGTGAAAAAAACAGTCGTTCCTTTAAAAATTGCTGTCTGGATGATCAAGTCACTTTTAGTGAAATATTCCGTTTTGTAGCAATAATTGACCATCCGAATCCGGAACGTGAATTTCCAAAATTAATGAGATAATATAGTTTGAAATAAAGATTTTCAAAATATCATCTGGGAGATGAAGCGTTCGGATGATTTTGTTCAACTATATATATCTTTTGCTGGAAAGTCTCAAGCCCATGTTCCATGTTTTCAGAAATAAGAATTACATCTTAAATGACGTTATCCCATTAAAACTGAGGGAATGCATTCCCTTTTTAGCTAACCTGAGCTGAAAGCTCAATTTACTTTTTCTGATCATATTTTGTCTGTAGTCCGCCTGTCTGTCCATTTTCGGTAAAAGGTTATCATTTTTCGCCTTTTTCGAAAGAACGACTTGGCAGATTTTAACCAAACTTAGTACAAATCATCACTGAGTAGTGGGATATTAAAATTGTTAAAATAAGGGCCAAGTCCCTTTCCAAGGGAGATAATAAAGATATACCAATTTAGGTTGGGGTTCTCAAGAACCATTAGACCAGAAAAGCTGAAATTTTATTGGAAGTATCCTCGGGCAGTGTAGATTTTTAATGTTTTAATCATTATCCCCGGGCGTAGGGGAGGGCACAAAAAGGAATCCAAGTTTTATAAAGCAATATATGGGAAAACAAACTTTTAAAATCCTTTTCAAAAACAAGTCAGCGATAAAGAAGACGAAACTTATGTGGAAACATACTTGGAAAAAAAAAAGATTTTAAATTGTTCAAATCATGACGTCCGGGGGAAGGGCGGGATCAAAATAGGGAATCCAAGTTTTACAATGAGGTATATGGGAAAACAATCTTTAACAATCTTCTCAAGAACAAATGGACTTAAAAAACTGAAACTTATGTCGAAGTGTAGATATTAAATTGTTCAAATCATGACCCCTAGAGGAAAGGCGAGAACGCAATAGGAAATCTAAGCTTTACATTGAAATATATGGGAAAACAAACTTCTAAAATCTTTTCATTGTCAAGGTCAAGATATCTATAACAAAGGAGGGATCTGTTAATTGACAGAATGACAAAATTTACTCAGGTGAGCGATGTGGCCCATGGGCCTCTTCTTTCAATTCTTGTCACTTTTTTGTCCGCTTTGAATTAAAATCTACGCTAGTTTTGAAAATAAATCATATGGAATTCTTAATGGTATGCAATCAACATTGAAACTTTTTTTTATATTATAAAATACTGGGTAAAATGTGGTTCTTACAATACATTGTCCTTTATATGAGAGAGAGAGAGAGAGAGAGCAGTTAACCAATGATCATAAACTCTCATGTATGGTACAATTTAATTTAAATTTTTTTATTTTCAAGGCCGGAAATGGACAGCAATCAAGTGTATGTATACAATTTATGTTTTTTCTATTCATGGAAATTGGAATGTAAAAAATACTCTAGAGAAAAGCGTCCTTCGTTCATGTAATAGCAATATGCGTTAACAAGAATAGAGTTTTTATTTTTATTATTTCTGTGAATCTCTTAATGATAAATATTCAGTTTGTGAAGCAAAAGATGAATAATTATGCAATCAGGCAATCTGGAAAAAAAGAAATAGACGATTTCAGTCAAATGCTCTTAAATATCAACAAGAAATATATATACAGAATTCAATATTCCTATGTCAATCTAACATTTTTTAGTGCTTATGCATGTATTTTTCAAGAAAATCTAGTCTTGATTGATGAAACAGAATCAATACTATTTCCAACTTTTTTTCTTGAATAACCTTTCTGTAATAAAACCCTGGTCTCCAGCATGAATGTCTGCGACCATACAATGTACAAGTACATGTATCAACTACGCTACGACAACGGCTGTTAACCTGTTGTAACGAGGAGCTGCGATGTTTATCTTGTACATATTTTGTATAATCTAGTACTATGTTAGTTGTGCGGATTTCAGGGACAGGCTGATTTATTTCACGTCTCTTATATCGGGAAAATGACGACTATGAGCGACGGGTACCTGTTCCTGTGTCAAAAATTTGAGATCGTTGTAAACTCTCTAACCTTATTCTAGCTTTTTTTTTTTTTGGGGGGGGGGGGGGGGGGGGGGGGGGGGAGACAACCTATTTTTCGATACCAACTTCTTTCAGTACCAATTTTTAAACCTAAAATACTACATTTTCCTTATCACAAAAAATTGGGGGCAGCCAGCCTTTCAATGAACATTTCCTACAGAAAAATGATATTGGGAAAAAAGGGGACAGCCCCCCCCCCTGCTGCTACATGCTTGCAAGCAGGACTGTTTCATGACCACCACCCCTCCTTACGTAATTTCTTTTAAACTCCGTGATCCTAGTGATAAGTGGTAAAATGATAAACTGATTTTGTTATTGTATCTTCAAGAAGAGTAATCTATAAATGTACATGCTATAAACAGATTCGTAATTAATAAAAGGCTAATTTTGATACAGCGAAAGCTCAAGTCAACACACTATATCCTCTGGAGATAAATGGAACAGCGTTATCTCATCATGGTGACCTAATTCGTTTCTCTATAGAAAAAAACGATCAGTTGTATTTAAGAGATGCTAGTACATACAGTAGAATAGAAATAAAGTCCTTGTTGTCGTGAATGTTGCAGAATAACATCCTCGGTCTCGAAATGTTGTTAAAATTTAAAAGCCTCGGCTAATACATCGGCTTTTATCTTTCAAACAACATTTCTTGACCTTGTAGGTTACTCCGAAACATTCACGAAAACGCTGACTTTATTCTCAAATAACACTTTTTTTCCGATGCAAAAATAATTTTATTGCTTTATTCAAATGCCTTTTTGTCAGTAGAATACCAGTAACTTTAAAAATCTTTAAAAATCTTCTTTTCAAAAACAAGTGGACAAAAAAAATCTGAAACTTATGTTGAAGCATCCTGGGGGTAATGTACATTCTAAATTGTTTAAATTATGACTCTTTAGGATGTCAAGGTCAAGATATGTATAACAAAGTAGGGAACTGTTAAATGACAAAATGACAAAATTTACTCAGGTGAGCGATGTGGCCCATGGGCCTCTTCTTTCAATTCTTGTCACTTTTTTGTCCGCTTTGAATTAAAATCAACGCTAGTTTTGAAATAAATCATATGGAATTCTTAATTGTATACAATCAACATTGAAAGTTTTTTATATTATAAAATAATAGGTCAAATGTGTCCGTTACAATACTTGTCCTTTATATATGAGAGAGAGAGAGAGAGAGAGAGAGAGAGAGAGAGAGAGAGAGAGAGAGAGAGAGAATTTGTTAAGGTGAGCAGTTAACCAATGATCATATACTCTCATGTATGGTACAATTTAATTTTGATTTTCTTATTTTTAAGGCCGGAAATGGACAGCAATCAAGTGTATGTATACATTTTATGTTTTTTCTATTCATGGAAATTGGAATGTAAAAAATACTTTAGAGAAAAGCGTCCTTCGTTCATGAAATAGCAATATGCGCTAACAAGAAGAGAGTTTTTATTATTTCTGTGAATCTCTCAATCAGTGATAAATATTCAGTTTGATACAGTACAGGCCACGAGTTTTCAGCAAAAAACACAGGGCCCCGGTGTCTTTGAAGTCAGCGTTTCTGTGCACCGTGTAACACGGTGTGTCACAGTTTTGATGATATATATTTTAAACATTTTCATTGCCCTTTTTTGTTTTCTTTTGAAATATTTAAGGTCTTCCGTTTCAAACGGAAGACCTTCTGCTGATTCTGTTGGTAAAGATTATTATTCTTTTTTTTCTTCCGCTTCCTAGACCGCAACTTTGAGGCTTCATATCTCACTCATTTCTCAACGGATTTTGCTTAAATTTTTAGAGGTAATAGACGTTTATATATTCTATCAGAATGCTTACTAAAATTTCAAAAAGTCACTTCCGGTTTTGAGTTATTTTGCTTTAAACGAAAATTTATAAGCTTTCGTTTCCAGACAAAGGCTCAGAGACGGCTAAAGTTGGAGCAGAAATTCTACTGATTTTAGATAATAGAAGGATTGAAGTTGTGCACATTTGTTTTTGTTTTTCGATTTCTCTATTCAAAATGGCGCTGTATAGGGGTAAAAAATTAGAACGCTTAAAAGAACCAAAAATTACTCATATTTTGCCTTTTATCTTCTAAACTAAAAATATTTTGCTAAGATATATAGAACATAATTTGTGCAGAATTAATAGATCTTTCAAATGATATGTCGTAAAAAGGGCTGACCCCTAAATAAAGGGATCTAGAGGGACCAAAAGTTTTTTCCAGATATCTCAAAAAGCATTGAGAATTTGTTATACATCAAAGAAGCAAAGTTGTTGAAAATGACAAGCTTAATCTAATGAAGTCGTCAAAATACGTCCAGCGTCGTCACTTCCTGCCAAACTGGAAGTAGTTGGAAAACGCGTATTTTTGCCGTTTTTGACAAGTTTTTGGGTAACATATGTCTCTGGGAGCTTAGAAATTAACTTTCCGTGCGTCGTCGTCACTTCCTGTCAAACCGGAAGTAGCAAAAAAGCTTATTTTTGCATAAATTAACATAGCATTAAAGGATTCAAAGCATTGTGGGCCTTATTTCTCATTTTTGTTAAAAATGAAAGCTACTTCCGGTGAAACAGGACGGAAGACCTACTCCTTGCTTTGCAACGAGCTTTGCTCTAGTTGTTATACTTTTCCATAAATTAATTATGGTAATTTATCGCATACAGATGTTTAAACTTATAAGATGCCTTAAATTAAATAACAATGCGAACTCGTGTCCAGCAAAAAAATATGTACATTCACGTTTCAAGTTAAATCTCAATTATATTAGTCATAAAAAGTTCAATAGACTATTATTATTATTATATTACACTAAGAGGAAACACACTTTCAAACATGAATTACTTGATTGTCTCTACTTTCGATTTTGATTTTAACCGTTTTTCCCTACGTATGCATTCACACATAGTACATATCAGATGCGTGATTGTACTAAGTGAATTAATATTATGTCGGAATTTTTAAAAAATATATATAATTATATATGTACTATGTCTAGAATAATTTAAAAAAAACATATCAGACTCGCACATTAATTCTGCTCTTTGATACCGGTACCGATACGGCGAATCATTGGACAGGTACAGATAAGGATTATTGCCGTGACTAACACTGAAAATCTGTAATTATGTAAAATATGGAGATAATTATTAAATGCAGTAAACTCAAAAATCTACTGAACAGGCAGAGATGATAATCTAATAAATTTCTTTGTTTAAAATAGTGATCAACTTACACGCTGAATACAAAAATCACCAGCCGAATTTTTTGGCAAATAAAATGTACTAACTTAGGTACGAATATTACTTCACTCTGAAATATATCGTGTGAAAAATGAAACGAAAAAAGAAGTTTGAGAGAACATATAGATATTCAGCGATTTTTAAAAATGCCCCCCCCCCTTCTAGAAAGCGATACGAGTCAATCGGCTGGTTAAAACTTTATCAGAGGTCTGCAAATTTATGTTATGTTTTTTTTTTTAATCTTAATCTATGAGATACATGATTACTGGTGTCTGAAATAGGATAAATAAATTAACAAAGTACAAGAAAGTTTATAATCGTTGCTGTAAGTGGAACAGGCGCGGATCCAGGAATTGAAGTTAGAAGGGGCGCCAAAAGTAGACAAGGGGTCTGGGGGCCGCGAAGCCCCAGGAAGCTCCTGGATTCTAGAGATTTTGTAGGGTAAAAATGAGGTCTACCAAGTATAAATGTTTACATTTTCTAGACAAAACTGTGATTTACGTTAATTTTGACAATTAGGGGGGGGGGCGGGTGTACCCCCCTTAAATCCGCCACTGTGGAAGATGAATTTCGCATGATATCAGTTGAGTGTGTTATACACTTGCTGTGGTCAGAGCTAAAGAATTTGAAAGGTGTGATAAACATACGGCGCCCCTGGTCCACCGGCAGAGACCCAATATATTTTTTAAACAGGTGTGAACTCGTAACTGACTTTCAAGGTCACCTAGCGTCATGGGACAGGTGATGCACGAGGATTTTGTGCGTACAGCATATACAGAGAACGAATTTGATTGCAGTAAATAAGTTGGATATGAACAAAATTTGTGGCAATTAAATAGAATTATAGAATCATTATGATTAATTGTGACATCCGTAACTTAAATAACTTAAATAAAACGAAGAATCAAAAAAAAAAAAAAATACAGACTATGTTAGAAATGGGTTGTATGAGTCTCTCTCTCTCTCTCTCTCTCTCTCTCTCTCTCTCTCTCGCTCTCTCTCTGGTACTGCTTTTTAAACATAGTACACTTTACAAGAAAAAAACTTATTAGAATTAAGAAAATCTTTTTTTAAATAATTACTTACACTGAAAGGATTTAAAAACACAACGTGGAAGTGAACACTATATACTGTATGAAAATAATGTTTGCTGTTACGAGAAATACGCTTTGAAATCATTGCATTAATTTTGTGTTTCTGCTGACGATTTTCGCATCCACATTCAGAATAATTCAAGATGAATTAAATGCATGTATTTTAATAAGGAATATACATAATAATGCTTGGATCGTACACTAGTACTGTACATGTTAAAACCATGATTATAAAAACAGCTCGGATTTAATACTACATACAGTGTGTTTGACACGAATGCAGCTCGATGCCATTTCGTCTTCCTTTGTTTCAAGAACTCATGAGATTAAAATATTCATATATAAAAAATCCATAAATTTGATTTAGTAACGTGAATGAATAATTTTACTTAAATAAAAATTTCTAGACACACAGTTCAAATTCAAATGAAAATGATTCAATTTTTTTTAACGATATCTAATCTCAATATCATGCGTGCCATTCCGAGTCCAATATCTGGTTGAATAAAAACGATTATATATATATATATTATATATATATATATATATATATATATATATATATATATATATATATATATATACTGAAAGGAAAAAGAAACGCAGGGTAGCACAATATTCGAAAACTTTTTAACCGCATGACCGAAAATTACGAAAATTGGTCAGATCAGAAATTTAGTTACTATGCACGAAAATCAGTGTTAAGAATTACTCAACCGTAACATGTATGACGTCATGCAGGGAAAACGATAAAAAGCCCAAAACACGTGCAATTTGAAAACGAAGAGTTTGTCAACAAATCTTTTTGCACCATTTGATGCACCTGAGGTATACACATTGTTTTTCAATATTTAGAGACGATATTAATTCCTTGCAATCTTGGTACAGTTTACGGAAGTTCAGTGGGGTCTGATTTTTGAATTGCCCAATTATTGAAAAAGGCAACAATGGGTAACTAAGCAGTTTCTTGTAAATTTTCCCCCATAAAACTTGTTGTCTGTTGTCAGTGAGGGCCTGGAATGGTTTTCAATCAACCGTGACGATGACGCTGACGCGAAACAGAGCCATGTTACGAGCGGGTTATTCGTCCTGCCACCTCTTAAATCACAATCCTACTACCACCAAAAACCGCTTTTTATACAGTAGACTATTCTAGTCATCACATTAACACAAAAAATAAAAGAAAACAATTCTGCAAATTGGTTTTTTGAGCAAGTCAGCTTACTGTTGTGTTTGTTCCTCTCACTCGCGCATGCGCGCGTTGCATGACTAATTTTTTGGCGTGGTTACCGATGCCCAATATAGCCAGGGTTTAAAAGATAATGAATTCCATGCAAAGAAGAAATAACGCTCATGACAGATATGCAGGAGAGACATTGAAGATAATGCGTGTTTTCGATTTTCACTTTTGGGGGTATCGTCATATGAGCTTCAATAACTCAAGAATTATTAAACAAAATCACATGAAATTTTTGTAATACCTTTTTGAAAAATGATTTTAAAAGTTAGATAGGAATATTGAAAAAAATTGAAAGAAAAATAAAATTAAATCAACTCAAAAAGTTTACCCAGCATTTCTTTTTCCTTTCAGTATATATATATATATATATATATATATATATATATATATATATATATATATATATATATATATATATATATATATATATATATATATATATATATATATATTATATATATATTGATATATAAACGTTCTACTTTCCCACCTGAACGCTGAACGAACGCTGAACGAACGCAGAGTGAACGGTGAACGCAACTTGGTGAACGATGTGTGAACGGTGATTGAACACAGAACGCGAACGGAGCGCGAACGCGAGCGCAAAGTGAACGAACGGTGAACGCAAGATGAACGATTTATTCGGAATGCCTTCAGTCTTTTCCTTGTATTGAAATTATTCTTTTATTCTATAATTCAAATGTCAAAAATAAATATAAATACACAATAGATAAAAAAGAGAAATAAATAGATAAAAAAATAAATAAATAATAATAAAAAAAAAATCTACACATACGTATGTTTAAATCGATATTTAAAAAACATGATGTTAATCGCCGTCAAACGTGTATTTGTTACCGCGTGTAGTTAAAAAATAAATTAATCTAATATAGTAAATAATTATGCTTATTCTTTTAACTAATAAAATAATGTGGATTTTAGAAGATAAAACTACTACTGAGATAAACAATAGATAAATAAATAAATAAATAAATAAATAAATAAATAAATAAATAAATAAATAAATTAATTAATTAATTAATTAAATTAATTAATTAATTAATTAATTGATTAATAAATAAAATAAATAAATAAAGCATTTTTTTCTGCACATACCTACACTGTATGTTTAAATCGATATTTTAATGACATTATTTTAATCGCCGTCAAACGTGTATTTGTTACCGCGTGTACTAAAGAAATAAATTAATCTACTTATATAGTAAATAATTATGCTTATTCTTTTCATTAATAAAATAATGTGGACTTCTGAAGATAAAACTGCTATTTATAGAATGAATTAATTACATTGTACGGGGTTGAAACAACCGTACATGTATTTCCGTGCCAAAGCGATTCTGAGTAAAATAACGGATTTTTTTTAATTCACAATTATCTGTTGACATTGACTGTTATCGTACTGCATAAAAATTCTCGTTTTATTTAAATTCTACTGCAAAATATTCTATATTTATGTGCCTTTTTATTCTTTTATGACGATTATTTTAGCTAACTTCTTCATGTATCTGTAGACATTTCCCGGCCGTGATTATACTCGATCAAGATGTTGGAAAGAGGCATTCAAATTATTTGTAATATATGTGTAGATTAAATTTTCAAAACTAAATAAGTAATGTGTTGTCATAGTTTTTATTGAACAGAGAAATGAGAGAGAGAGAGAGAGAGAGAGAGAGAGAGAGAGAGAGAGAGAGAGAGAGAGAGAGAGAGAGAGATAACCCCCTCGATTCTCAGATATATGCTGTATCAAATAAAAATTCTAATTATTTTTCCTAAATATTCCAAGCAATAAAGGTAATCTTTATTTTTTAGATTAAGGATATCCGATCCTCAGCTCAGAAGGACAAGTCCAAAAATTAATATTTGAATTGAAATGCATCAAAATTAAGCTTGAAGATGATTTTTTTTCATGCAACAAATTTCATTTCATTCATCTTTTTAAGATTCAGGATTTTTGGAAGTCTTAGAAAAGGTCTTATAAAAGTTGACATTTGTACCCTATAAAAGGAAAACAAATTAATACCGTTTTAGAGAAATAAGATTTTCTTGAATCTAACCTTAGATACCAATGCTTATTAGCATAATATGAAATGAGAAGTGTTTTGTGGTGTCTTGCAATGATAGCAAAAGCCTTTTACACTATGTATTATAGAATACATGTCGGAAATAGAAGACAAAAAACACCAAATAAGTATAAAAATCATGACAATTTCTCTGAATGACTCGATACCTATCGTTTTTTAACCAAAAATATATTTGTTGATCAATATGCAATTAGAAAATGCATTTCTGATAATCTAATTCGCCTTTTCTGCAAAAATATTGGAGATTTGACAATTTTCCCTATATATTATGATCAACTTCAATCTTTAACTTTAAAGAAATACTGTGGATAAATTTACTTACCTTTGTGGATTGGGAGATACTTTTATGAGTAGTTTTGATTACTTAACTGCTAATTTTATAAACCCGAGGATCGGACTACCTTAAGAAATCCATTTGACAGTAATCATTGGCTTTTATTTTCCATCAACAAGATCACACAGTTCACAGGAAGTCCGTGATATATTTGTAGTAGCGTGCTTGTGCTGTCAATCAAAATAATTCGACACAGTGGAGGTGTGGAAATCGCGTTTCACCGATCATGCCGAAGGCAAGGAGTCACTTAGTATTCCAAGAAATTTTAATATTTTTCCCTATCATTTCTAGATCTGATTTTTGCATTCTGCAGAAAAAAATAATTCGAAAATATACATGGAAGGATAAAGTTTTAAATTGAATGTGAAACATATTCCCTGCCAATTTAAAATACTACTGTCGACACAAGTTTATACTAAAATACTATTGTTTAATGACTGTTTGATGTTGGTTTTAAGACTGATTTTCTTGTGTTACAACGAAAATTAAATATTAATTAAAATATTCTGAAAAACTCAATAAGAATTTTATTTCGGGAGAAAAGGCACCGGGGGGGGGGGGGGGTAATTATACTGAATAGCAAGAAAACATATTTTTTAAACATGTTTAGGTACGGAGAAGGAAGAAATTTTTCTTCTCTAATAATAGAATATTTTAAACAGTTGGTTTTTTCTAAAATTTAAAACCACACCATCAATTTAATTACCTCTAAAGATATTTAATTAACTGAATATTTGCAGTACTGTTCATAATTCTCAAACCTACATGTAATTTAAATACGTGTTACTGTAGAAATAATTTTTTTTATGTATTCTTATCCTGTAAAAGACTTGGATTAATTATTATACGTCCATTAATAATTTGTCCTCTTTAAAATTACATCAAATTGATGCCGTGCGTGAAGCATTTGTACATTGCCCTTTTTTGAATTTAATATTTTAGCATCGTTCTACATACATGTAGGTACTTACTGTATTAATTATTTTCCAGGGAAAATTTATGAAATAAATAACAGCTGAGTTATAATAATAGAAATATAATTATCATGGATAATTTTTGCAATGAAATGATTATTCTTTAAAAACGATATCTAAGTTATTTAATTAAAAAAACATGTAAATCCTTACCATCAAAAAGATAAGTCTTTTCACTTCGGAGTTTTGAATGACAATGAAGACTGAACGATAAGTGAACGGTGAACGCAAGGTGAACGCAAAGTAAACGGAACAAAGAGCGAACGGTGAACGTTTTGTGAACGATGAACGCGAGCGCACGGTGAACGGTGAACGCAATACTGTGAACGAAGAGCGAACGGTGAACGCACGCTGAACGAACGGTGAACGCACGCTGAACGAACGGTGAGCGAACGGGAAAATGGGAAAATTGAACGTTTCAGGAATATATATATATATATATATATATATATATATATATATATATATATATATATATATATATATATATATATATATAAATAAACCAAAGTTCTAAATTGTCATCAAAATTTATTACATTTTTATCAGAAACAAATGTTAATACTATATACACGGTGCAGCTTGGGGGAGAATTTTCTGTCACTCGGTGCAACACGGAGGGAATTTTACTGGACACGGTGCGACACGGAGGACATTACCTGAGATTTCTGGTAGACACGGTGCGGCACGGTGTGCCTACCTGTATATTTCAAATCCACACACACTGTGCTACCCCGTGTACACGGTGTAACACAGAGCGTTTCACACGGTGTTTTTTTTCCACCGAGCGATGCGGAAAACTCGTGGCCTGTACTATAAGCAAAAATGAATAATTATGTGATCATGCAATCTGGAAAAAAAAAGAAATAGACGATTTCAGTCAAATGCTCTTAATTAAATATCAACAAGAAAGCCAATGTTATCTTATTGTACAGATCAAATATATATAGAATTTGATATTCCTATGTCAATCTAACACATTTTATCATACCTATGCATGTATTTTTCAAGAAAATCTAGTCTTGATTGATGAAACAGAATTAATACTATTTTCAACTTCTTTTTTCTGAAAGAACCTTTTTAGAATAAAACCCTGGTCTCCAGCATAAATGTCTGCGACCGTACAGTGTACAAGTACATGTATCAACTACTTTACGACAACGGTTGTTAACCTGTTGTAACGAGGACCTGTGATATTGATCTTGTATATATTTTGTATATTTTAGTACTATGTTAGTTGCCCGGATTTCAGGAATAGGCTGATTTATTACACGTCTCTTGTATCGGGACGATGACGATTATCAGCGACGGATACAAAATGTACCTGTTCCTGTGTCAAAAATTTGAGATCGTTGTAAACTCTCTAACCTTATTCTAGACTTTGGTGGGGGGGGAAGGGGGGAGACAACCTAGTTTTTGATACCAACTTCTTTCAGTACCAATTTTTAAACCTAAAATACTACATTTTCCTTATATCAGAAAAAGTTAGGGGCAGCCAGCCTTTCAATGAACATTTCCAACAGTAAAAATAATGTTGGGAAAAAAAGGGGGACAGTCCCCCCCCCCCCCCCCCCCCCCCCGCTGCTACATGCTTGCACGTGGGACTGTTTCATGACCATCACCCCTCCTTACGTAATTTCTTTTAAACTCCGTGATCCTAGTGATAAATGGTAAAATGATAATCTGATTTTGCTTTTCTATCTTTAAGAAGTTTAATCTATAAATGTACAAGCTATAAACAGATTTGTAATTAATAAAAGGCTAATTTTAATACAGCGAAAGATCAAATCGTCTGTACTCTATTCACAAGTAAACAAACGTACTTTACCCTCGGGAGCTAAATGGAACAAAGTTATCTCATCATAGTGACCTAAATCGTTTCTCTATAGAAAAACGATCAGTCGTATTTAAGAGATGCTGTACATACAGTAGAATAGACATAAAGTCCTTGTTGTCGTGAATGCTGCAGAATAACCTCCTCGGTCTCGAAATGTTGTTGAAATATAAAGCAGCCTCGGCTAATACATCAGCCTTTATCTTTCAAACAACATATCTTGACCTCGTAGGTTACTCCAAAACATTCACGAAAACGCTGACTTTATCCTAAATAACACCTTTTTTCATATGCAAAAATGATTTTATTGCTTTATTCAAATGCCCTTTCGTCAGTAGAATACCAGTTACTATAAAATCTTTAAAAATCTCGCTACAGTACATGATATGAAGGGTCAATTTATATTTCCATATACTGTGTAGAAAGAATATCTTCGTCTTTTGTAGGGTATTGAAGGAGGAAACCAACACAAATGAGAAAAATCATCCTGTTGTGTACGCATGCGCAACTATGTGGCATGAAACCCGCTTTGAAATGGTTCAACTTTTAAAATCTTTGTTCAGGTTTGTTTTGAGTTCTGTATCTTGAAAATTGTTCCTATTTTTATATTTATGAGGAACATTTAAGTGTTTTTGTTGTTTTTTTTCGATTTGAAGACTAGATAAAGACCAATTTGACAGAGAAGTAGAATATCAATCTGCAAAGGAAGAAAATAAAAACGATCCAAACAAAACCAACCTACCGGAAGATTACTACGAATTTGAAGGTATTTTTCACAACCTGAATGTCTTTCATGAAGTTTTACATGCTTTAAACCTAAATCACGAGGTAAATTATTCTTGATTTTAAAGAAATTTTATTAAGCAGAATATAAAAAATCACTTCCCCATTTAAAGGCATATTATATGAAATATCGAGTCTTGTGGTGTTGGTTAACACATACCCTTTTCAAATAGATATATGACTCATTTACTCATTTAAACGCAGTAAACTGTGCCACACATTTCCTTATTATATTTCTTTTGTTTATAATATACTATTATCAAATTATTTTTCAATTGTTTTTATCATAGCGGATCCTGATTATCATGTCAATTTTTTCATGCATTTGTTGTATACACATATTCTTTTTTCTCATTTTTCATTAAGCTCATATTCTGTTTGACGACGCTTTCAACGAAAATGGCAATGTCAACCACTATGTAGAAACATTTGAATCCGTAATAAAAGAATCTGCAAGGTATATAATGATTGGAACAAATAAACTTTATATATCAACAGATCAATGAATGTGTTGTCACCATAAATTGCTTTGTTCAATTAATTTAGAATTGTGCACTTTATTTAACAATTCATTTTAGTGCTGTACATAAAAAGCTGTGTCCAATCGAGAAACCCTTTCTTTTGAATACGATATATGGAGGTCAAGTGATATATAGGATGCCTGGTGGGAATTTAATGTTTATTCATTTGAAAGATAAATCAAAAATACGGCACAAGAAAAGGTGGTCACAGGTTAGGCATTTTTTAAACAATAGAGTTTTGTTCTTGAGTGAAAATACGTAATTACATTTCAAAAATACTTACTTATAGACATCTTAGGTGAGTTATACAATTTTACCCTTTAATCTTCCATATTAAAGCAAAAAGGTTTCAATAATTTTTCTTTTTAAATCTGTTTTCCTTTTTCTCTGAATCGGATAATTATATCAACAGGTGATGTATATGTACTACCTGCTTGGTTATCGTTTTATGACGGCGGAGATATCTCACAAAGTAAAGGAAGAAGATAAAGAGAAAACTACTAGTGCCGAATCAGAGAGTCTGAATGATTTTGATACAAAGGTACTAGTAATGAAAACATTTATGTGATTGTTAAAAAAACAAATATTTCAAAGTCATCGATAAAATACGAACAAGTATCTACAATTTTAAGATGCTAAAAGTATCGCCTAAGTCGAGGACGACCACTCTTACGAAACTATTGAAAACTGAGACATGATCCTTAATTAAAATACCGTAGAAGTACCTTTTACAGCGAGGTATCAATTTACGCTATGTACGCGGTCGCAAGCTTTCGGCAGAAATTTATCCAAGCGTACTTTGTATAAATGTAAGGCATATAGTGACAATCTACAAAATCCGCACAATTTTTTACCCGCGGATTAAACAGAAATTGAAATTCCGCGGAATTATGACACCGTGGAAAAAAGTACGTCTACAGCAGTCAAACATGTTATTGTATGCTGAATCACATCTGTAAGAAATGTTTCTGACAACATATCTGCAGCATGCTAAAAAGTTATACTGCTATCGTATTTTTCAGTTTATTAAATATTCTACAAGTTCACTCAAAACCTAACTTGATTTTTTTTCAATTTATAGTAAGTAAACCCTTCTGTAATCTATGAATCGAGCCACATTAATACCAAGTATTATATGTCACAATCTTTTGATCAATTAAGAAAAAAATGTTTTAATGGATATAGGGTACTGTTGTTCTGTTGCTTATTATGTTCAAGAATGGCAGAGGAAACTTGGCTGTGATTGCATGTAATGTACAGCTGATTTCTTAAATTTAGAGACATGATTGTTGAGAAGAAAATCGATAAATTAAGATCCTTCCAACCTCTTATGATGTCATATTTTAATTTTTTTTTTTGCAAAAACTATTATGAATTTAAATCCATACCAAATAAAACAATATTTTTTTGAAGAATGTTTTTCAATAGGTGTAACATATATATTGTTGAATAAAGGAAGTTTAAATGATGCATATTTTCTCTATTCAGTCAAAAAATGTTGACAAGGGAAATTACTCCCTCATGGGAATCTTCATTCAGACATGAACATTTTTACTTCTAAGAGTAAAAAGATTTCCTGATATTCACAATTTAAATATATCTTACTAGTAGCAAGTATTTTGAAACTTTCTGCATCAGAATTATGCATTTGAACCTGTTTTTACATAATTATTATCTCACAGTTTACATAAAATGTACATATTTTAAAAATGTTATATACGAGGGACGTTAAATAAATAATGTCATTTGGGCTCAGAAAGAAACAAAAAACGCTTTTCTTTGACTTACCGGGTAGTCTTAATGATTTAACTAAAATATTATCTTTGAATTAAACGCATACCCGAAAGATTTTCACTCAATTTCTAATTGTTTTTCAAACACATTTTTGAGTATGACCCTTCGTATACTGGAATATGGCAGATCCTATGATTTGCTGTACTTTTTTTTCTTTCTGATAAATGTTTTTCTAAGTTAAGGAAATGAAACAAGTCAAAGGTAGAAAGATCTGGCAAATGTTGCTGGTGTGACAAAAAATAACTTTCTGTTTATTCTCAAAACTTTTTTACTCTTCATGGCCTGTGGGTTTTGACGCCGTCATGGACATCTAATGTGGTGAATTCCTCATTCTGTTTCCTTCCTCTCATATACGGTACCTTTCAATTTTTTGCAAAAAATATTTTCTAGACTCCTCCAGAAATTGAACTTCTTCATCGAATATGAATTTGAACAACAAACTTGCATAATATTGAAGAAAATAGCATATCAAACTGTTTTTTGCTCTTGTAAGTCTTTGCTCTTCTTAGGTCTTTGCAGTTTTGTCAAGTGCACCTTATTGTAAATTTGTTTTGAGGGCTTAGAGCAATATGGATTCAATTTTCAATATCTGTTAGAATTTCACATAAACGTGGATAAGTACATTTTTTTTTACTTTTTTAAATAATAATGCTTGGATATTCCTACACGCTATCGTTTTCACTCATTTCTTCAAAATATAGGGTGACCTTTGAGTATTAAATATTTTTACTATAAAATGTTTTTTTAAAACAGTATGAACTATCCCCAAAATGATTTTTATCAATTTTGCTATGTGTCTTAAAGTCAATAAAACATAATCAGTGATAATTTGTTGACATTTTGCAAATTTACATCGGTTATTGTAAGTCAATGTTGCGATGGACGGTACCCACTTTTTATGCCCATTATACGATTTTTGTTTTTTGAAATCTACATGTTCACCTTTCTATGAAACAGACATTGGTTGCTATAAATTTCACATAGTTCAGTTAATATATTTTTGGGATATTAACAAGTTTTACAGCTGCTTTATTGAAGCGTTTAATTTTACTCTAATTTGATGACTCTTCACCATTCATTTTTAATGCAGTGTATCGAATAGCCCTTGTTCTCCAGCTTTCCACAATAAAATAATGCGATGAAAAGAGGTCAACCAAACTGTTATCAATTTATTAAAGATTCAATAATGATAGAAAGTCAAGCTTTCTGTCATATGACTTCAATGCTGTACGTCATCGAGCTAAAGACATTATTTATTGAGCGTCCCTCGTACTTCTGTTTAAATAATAATATGGCGACGTAAACTGTTTCGCGATAATTGGTAAATTTCACGTGTACATGTATTTAATGAAAAAAATGGCTTTTTGTTCTTTTAACCATTAATACTGAGAGTGGACAAACCTTTAGGAAATAACTAAAAAAAATGATATAATCACATGCAAAATTGCCTGTTTTCGATTTCCTCGCTTATTCCTGTATATGCTGTCATAACCTAATTTTTGTTACACTCCATGATCAATTCTCAAATATATGATGATCAGTTATATTATCACTGGTCGAAATATTTAAATTTAGGGATGGTTAAACCATTGCCATTTTTTTTACTGTCCACCAAATCTGAGTTTATTTAAATTTTTAAATACAAATACATTCATTAACAATACATTAATTGTACAGTTAACGTCATTTTTTCAACTGTCGCCAAATATTACTTACAATATTGTTTAGTCTGTGTACCGGAATACTTCCTTGACACATGCTGGTAAAACGAATGTTTAAAAAAAAACAAGATGACTTCTTAATAATTTTTAAAAAAGACATTACATGTAGTTTTTTAACATGAATAATACATTCAAAACTTTGAAAACTTGTTTGGAATATCTAGGCTGACAACACATTTCTCCTTGCATTGGATGGGGACGTTGACTTTACACCTGGTTCGGTGAGACTTTTGATTGACAGGATGAGGAAAGATGATAGGGTTGGAGCCGCATGTGGACGCATACATCCTATTGGCAGTGGTATTGTAAAACTTTATTACACTTGAAAAAAAGGATTAAATTATGTCTTCAAAAGAACTATAAACTATTAACAAGGCTCGATCTTGTTGAAAATTCCGAAAGGAATGATAAAACTTTTCAATTTTTGGAAATATATTTGTATGTAATTTGCCTAGAAAAATTAGAATGAAATTTTGTAACCTTGCCTTTATTATAGTCAAATGATGGCACTGTCAAGATATGGACCATTTTCCGTGTTTTTATACACAAATACAATCTAAAACTCTCCAATAAACAAAGAAATTGAAAATTAAAAAGAAATGATGAAATGTATTGTTTGTCACATATATCATGCAATTTTTATTCTTCTTATAAAAAATGAAAGAAAATTAGAGGTAGCCTTTATTGTAGTGAATAGGGGCATATCAAAACGCAAAATTAGGATTTTTTTATCCAATTAGATATAAAATAAGACACCGAGTCGCCCTGGGTTTAGGTAACATTAACAAACGATTGCAATCCTTTATTAGTTTTTAAAAATAAATAATTCTAACATTTTGAAAAAAAAATTCTCTCCATGTTTTATTTTTTTCTTTACACGCGAAGTTGTAACATGTGGGAAAGGGGAAGGGTGTAAAGGGCGACGAATGACGAATTTTACTAATATCATGTAATATATAAAAAAATAAAATATTTCGGGGTTACATTGAAATGGTTCATGGGCTGAATTTTAAAACTCAAGCTAATTCCTGCATATTTAAGTCCTCAATAAAAAAGGTGTGTATAAACACTTAAACATGTTCAAGGAGTAAGAATAAAATCGTTTAATTTTGGTTGCAGTGTTTGTTTTTTTAACTCACATATTGAAATAAAACAAGAAAAACTTAATGAATTTGTACCATGAAATTGATACCTAAAAAAATCATGTTCCAAAGTTGTTTATTAATTAAAAAAAATAAAATACCTGTCAATAGTAGAAATACCAGCTTTCAACATGTACAGTCTATAGAGCTATGATGGATGTAGGATCAGCAAAACATGTTAGCGAAATTTGACGTCATATTAATTGTGAAGTTAATGTGTTTAATTATGAAAGAAGTCAAGGGCACTGTGACGTGCCTGAGTTGACACTGCGTTAAAACGTATGAGCAGTTCAAGTAAATTGGGCCTCGTTAATAATGATGACTTTGACACTATGAAAACTATCATAACCTAAATAAATTTTAACGAATGTCCCTGAAAGGGTTAAAACAAAAATTGTATCTCAAAGATAATCTTTAAATTCCTATCTGTCTTGGCTTAATTGAATTTAATATGCATTCGAATATTTTCAGTTTGCCCGACTGGATTTGATACGTGGATCAAAATGTTTTGCCTGTTTTGTATAACATTATGTTTCAGCTAATCAAGCATGTTTCATTTTTGCATTTTAATATGCATATAATATTTAAGGTCCAATTGTTTGGTACCAGAAATTTGAATATGCTGTGGCCCACTGGCTCCAGAAAGCAACCGAACACGTCCTAGGTTGTGTTCTTTGTTCCCCCGGATGCTTCAGTCTATTTAGAGGCTCTGCATTAATGGACGATAATGTAATGAAAAAGTATACGTTACTGCCGTCTGAGGCATCACATCACCTAATGTATGATCAAGGTAAGATCATGGACACCGTGGAGATTAAATAATCCCATTTATGTGACATGTTCTGGTTTGGCAATTTTTTTTATATAACAGTGTCTGTATATTGTACCTTGTTTTATACTAAGCTGCTATTATTTTTTATTATTATTTATAAGAACTACATGTATTTTTAGGCCGTTCCTATATCCAAATCTTGGTTCAACCAATCAGCAAAGTTCTTACATTAATCCACACCATGTAGTCATTATTTATCTGTTTACGAAAAGAAAAAGTGACGTTTATTGAACTGCTGAATTTTTCGAACACACCAGCCACCCCTTCTGGCCCTAATGTTGCTTATTATTTTTACATATTGACATTTTTGTTGCTCTGTTATACTAACCTCTTCTGATTGTGTTTGAACAGGTTAGAGAATTTCAAGTATTTATTCTCTAGCGCATTTTTTTTCTAACTTTTCACCTCAGCTTGTGGATCATGTATATACATCCACGTCACAGTTATGGTCTTTGGACATTCTGTAATAATATTTGGTTTATGAAAATACAACCTGTAGAGAACAGTTTTATTTATTAATAAGGACGTTTGGTCTGTGCCACATTCAAAGATCAATTATTAAAATTTCTAACTGTTGTACATGTAATGGCAATACATTTTTTTTTAAATGTCATGATAAGAAATGACCGTGTAAAATATACATTCTATTTTAACCAGGCGAAGACAGATGGCTTTGCACACTTCTTCTTCAACAAGGTTACAGAGTGGATTATGCTGCCGGGGCTGATGCTTTTACATATGCCCCAGAGAAATTTAATGAGTATTTCAACCAAAGAAAGAGATGGGGTCCATCAACACTAGCCAATATTATGTCTCTTTTACAAAACAGCAAAAATACAGTTAAAAATAACTCGAACATAAGTTGGCTGTACATTTTTTATCAGGGTAACTTTCTTTTTAATCTTTTTGTTGTATGTTTTTAGGAAAATGAAAAATGAATCTTTACTATTTCGTTGTTACTACCAAAAGGAGGACAATTTCTCAATTGAAATAAGTTGAACATCTCTTATGTAAAATTCCACTTTGATTATGTTTTAGCATCTTTGATGGCTGCGACATTTATTGGACCTGCAACGATTTTGATGATGATCGCCGGAGCATTTGTTGCAGTCTTTGGCGTTGATCTGATCACGTCATATATCGCTTCCCTTGTCCCTGCGGTTCTTTATTTCATAATCTGTGTAACGTGTAGCACGAAGATCCAATTAGTTGTTGCTCAGATACTGAGTGGGCTCTACGTTATTATCATGATGGTTGTACTTGTTGGCGTCATCATAACCGCCGTCACAGAGTCTCCATATCATCCAAGCGTTGTTTTCCTCGTTGGAATAGTGGCCATCTTTGTATTTGCTGCAATGTGTCATCCAAGAGAATGGAGCAATCTTATCTTTGGTTTTCTCTACTTCATTTTGGTGCCATCTGGCTTTCTAATTTTAATTATCTACTCGTTATGTAATTTGAACGACGTGTCCTGGGGTACACGTGAAAGCAGTACACCGAACGCCAACGTGAAGCAGAAAAAAAGTGTACTTTCCAAAATCCTATACCCATTTAAAAAACTAAGACAGTCTCTTTCAAGTTCACGAAATTCTGAGAAGGACGCTTTATACATAAACATGCTCAAATCAATGACAGATGTCATGGAGCAAAGTAAATCTATGAGAAAACGCACTTCCTCTGAAGGCGATTTAAGAGAAGTGATCGTCGACACAGATGTAAAAAAGGAACAGAAAGAGACTGTAAACAAGAAAGCTGAGGTAATTCTAAGGTATTTCCATCTTTAAGAATATAATCAGTCTAAATGCAGTTTACCTGTTCAGGTAAAAGGTGATTTTACATGCATTTTAAATTTAAATTAGTTTTAATTTAAAATGTATTTGCAGGACATATACCATTTTTGAGCTATTAGAATACTTTATTCAATTTATTTCCACAACAAAACATCTTTTTGTAAAACCAAAATTATAAGCTACATAATACTACTTACATTTTCCTTCCATGGACTTTGTTATAGATGACTTTTAACAATTTAAAAAAAGGCTAGATGCATACCAAAACTTAATAATCAAGTTCAACAGATGAATTTCAAGTAATTATAGATAATATTATGTAACATAACACGTTTTCAAGAATTCATTGAATTCCTAATGTCAATTTTCGTTATATGTATCCACAAAGAAACCAGGAGGATTTATTTACTATAGGGGCGAAATCAAACAACTGCAACTAAATATAAAAGAATAAAAAAATGAAACTGAATTAATGCTTGTATTTTTTCAGATTTTACATGGTCTAGATTTGAAACTTCCTTATATTTTAATAATTTTAATAACTTAGTTCGACTGGCTAAGAAGTGTATAATACAAAATACTCGTATCCAGAAAAAAAAGTTTGATATATCCTTATACACGAGAAAGTAACTTTTTTCTTATGTTTTATATACTTCAGACTAAAAAGCATAACACGGTGAAAAAAGTTAGAGGTAATAAGACCTCAGGACCGGGATGGATAGAAAATTGTAGGTTTCCAGGCATATGCACTGAAATGAAGGAAGAAGAGACTATTTTTTGGAGAAAATTTATTAAAGAGTAAATATCTTTTTTGACTAATATATTTTCACCCTTAGAAGATATGTATCCAAATATTTTTTTCAAAGCGCCTTCCTTTAATTAAAAAAATATAATTGTTCTTGTAAGCAGAATTTTTAATCATGAAATTTGAGGAGATAACAAATGGTACTCGAACGGAAATTCAACTTAACAATGCAAAATAGGAAAGGAGCAAACATTAATAGGAACAAATACTTCCACAGCATCAGAGGTTGGATCAGGTGCCATAAAGGAGTGAGAATCTCCCGCTGATCTGTCACATCCGCCGTGTGTTCCATGTCATGATCTAGAAATAATGGAAAAATCAATTGACTACTCTATAGCTTAACAGTCAGCATGAAAAAAATCATTCAGCATTTAACTGATAATTCAATTGACACGGTAATTGCATCAACTATAGGACGAAATGATTGTTTAAAAAGAGTTTGCTGATGTTCTTGCTTCATGAAATTATTTGCTATAGTTGACCTCATTTATGAAATTGTTCTTATGTAAAACATGCTCTTCCGCATCTAATAAACCGAGAGATGACAGACTTTAAGGTATATTGTTGTACAAGTAAGGGATGTTTACGATTGAAAAGTGAAACTACGAGACAGTAATTGAAAGGTTTTTTTTTTTTTACGTTTGGATCGTTTCTTTCGGTTGATGGTCACATTTAGAAGAAATGTACGTACTCGATACCACAAAAATATCATACTGGGAAGAGAAACAAATCATCTTTCATAAATCTCACAAATAATATATGAGTCTATATAAAAATCTATATAAACCATCCATTATTAAATTTTTCTCTACTAAGGTACCTAAAACCTCTTGAAAAAGACGAAGATAAGGAAAAGAAAGTGAAGGAAGAATTAAGAGAGTTGAGGAACAATGTATGTGGAGGGATGGCTCTGATTAACCTCATCTGGATATCAGTGAACTTCATGTTTCAATTGCGCAAACCGACAGTAGTCACTTTTGTTAAATTGGTGAGGTGACAAAATTTTTAGTTATGTTCCTTTAAGATACTTACAATGCATTAGATATCTATGCTTCATTAACAAACTGAAATAAATATGAGTCTCATTATTTTACGAAGCTACAATATTTTTCCACTGCCTCTACGTTTTAGATAATGGAAATGTATTTTTTTCATATTGTAGGAAAATGGGGAAGAAATAAAGACTGATGTTCTAGGCTTGTTGTTCATAATTTTCTTCACCTTGATTCTGGTTATTCAGTTTTGTGGTATGATCATGCACAGGTTTGTATTCGTTTTGGTAAAAAAAAAATCTGTAGAAACTGTACATTAAACAATACACAAAGGAAGCTGCATGATATGATCAAATGTTTATTGCAACATCTTAACTTTAATTTAATTCCAAAGTCTGAAGTAGGGGGAACAATTAGCAAATAATTAGCAATATTGATAGAAGCGTCATTGCTTTTCATTACTTTACATTTGGCATGCTAACTTTGGCTTCTTAATACGCGAAGGTAGATCAGGGAAACAAAGAGAAAACGCATTTCCACCTTATAACTAATTGTGCATCCCAGCCCACAGTAACCACTAAACCTAGGTCCATTTGTTTTATTTTGACACAATTTTGGAAAATTTAATCAAAGAACCAGGGTCGTTTTGATTCACGTTTGGTAGTTATCTGGGCGTACTTGAAAAGTGAGAAAAAAAATATTGACGTGTCACAAGAAATTCAAATCTTGATTTATCTGGATTCTGTGTAATGGGAGATGATGATATTTTCCAAAAAGTGAGTTCTGATTTGCTAAAAAAATAACTTAAAAATCGGCTAGATCAGACATTTGTTGCAAAGTGGTACATTTTAAAGACATTTTTTATTCTAAAAAAAATTCTATCTCTGGGTCTTCTCTTCATGATTTTGAAATAATGTTCTTGTGAATTTTAATTAATTAATTATTTATTATTATTATTAAACATTTATAAAGCGCCCTATATATTAAAACTCTAAGCAGCTGTACAAGCATTAAATGTAAAACAAATAAAACTTAAATATTTACAAAGTCATATTCGAAAATTATAAGAGAAAAATTTATTGTTTCCAATGTCCCTACATGTAAAAGTACTTAAAACGTTTACTAACAAGTTAACATCTATACAACATACCCTGAAATATTGGTCACTACACTACGCAAGCGTCTACTATCAAAAACTGTCTTTTTTTTTTTTATTTATCCAAGTTCGGTACACCATTTACTGGTGACCTTGAGGATTCAAGCTTTTAAACTATTCTGTTCAGTATGACCCCCATTTCTTCCTCTGCAGCATCCAATAAGTTCTGGACAAAATTCAACAAGCACTGATATTTTCAATCCTGGTTCAAAGAACAACTAATCTGTCTCCAAATACACTTAATGTAGTACTCAAAGCATGTAGGCCCCTACATGTGAAAAAGGACAGTTTTCTGATTATATTGAAATAAACCATACAAGACATATTTTTTAAAAATAATTAACGAATGTAATTTTTTTTTTGATAATGCTATATTTATATATTTCCAATTTAAGAAAATGTCATCAAATGACTTGGGTGAGATTCTTCACTAATTCGTCTGGCTATCTTTGAAGAAAACAAGAGCTTCTTATCTTCTTGAAGCAAAGTAACAGAGTAGGGAAAATGCATGTGGCAAATTGACAGACAGACAGGGCAATTTCTATATTTATACTTTCTCTTTACTTCTCTGTTTACAGTATATGAATTGCAGTTAGTGTGTGATAGGATTAAATTTAATTTGAAGAAATTGATTGTGTTATACATTTGTACAAGGCCAACAATAAAAAAAATGATTTGTTTGATGTACATGTACCTCCTACCTACGTATTTACCTTAAAAAATGTTGTTCCGAGAACATCAAACAAAAAATATTTTTAATGATTGCCTAACATTTCTTTAGCATTTTCTCGGCAGTGTCAAGTACATGTAATTGGTCATGCTGCATCTATTTTGTCTCTCCTCTTATTTTTGGATTCACCCCGTGGGGATCCGGGTTAGAATAGATCCTCAGTAACCCCTTGCTTGTCGTAAAAGGCGACTAAATGGGGCGGTCCTTCGGATGAGACCGTTTAAGGTATCCGACCCATATTAGGACCAAATATTCTAACCTTAACTATCAATTCTTTGTAAGATATCCTGATATTATTTTGATGCATTTTAGAGTAGAACGACATTTGCCATGAGAAATTTTCAAAAAAGTTATTACCTAAGCAGAAATTAATTATTGAAGATTGCATTGAAGTCTATAGAAGGAAGTAAGTTTTTCACAATAAAAAAATAAATACTACAAATATCAAAAAAAGCTCTGGTGGAAAGATGTATTTGATCATTGGGAATAGAAAAAAAAATTAGAAATAATTTTTTGACCAGACATATTTTTTTAAAATTAATTTTTATTGAGTAAAATCAAAGGGAGATAACTCGTCAAGGGCAGGAAAGGTCATAAATTAGGACATGTCCCACTCTTACATTCTGATACTCAAAGATGAAAATTAGTTCTAAATACACCGAGTATTCGGCCCATACATATCTATTATGCATTCAATTCCACTGAATCTGAGGCTAATATGGATCGGATACCTTAAACCGAGGCTCCGTGTCACAGCAGGTGTAGCACGATAAAGATCCCTCTATGCCCAAAGGCCGTAAGTGCCGAGCATAGGCCCAAATTTGCAGCCCTTCACCGGCAATGGTGACGTCTCCATATCAGTGAAATATTCTTAAGAGGGACGTTAAATAGTATACAATCTATTTCTAGATTCTTTCAATACATTAGCAACTCTTCGTAGTAATTTTTTATGGCTCAAAAGCTGAAAAATTCATTGTAAAACTGGGCTCTTGCTAGGGAAATGGATGTGAATTATCTGAAATTGCACAAGAAATATAAGAATGAAATGTAATATTCTTTTCAAAGTATTAGTCTTATATTTATAATAGTTGTTTTAAACACAAACCTGTCATGGAACACATAGAGACCTTTGTTTGAACTAAAATCTGGAATATTAATTGCTTATGTACTGTATATTTTGAAAAGTGCTGGGAGCTGATCCTAGTCTGTGTAACTTTATTTTTATTTATAACAGAATTTAAGCGAAGGGAAAATTCTTAGCTATTATAAGTTTTTTCAGCAAAATTTTCAGTACTTCGCGAACATCACAGACTAGCTATCAGCACTTTTTGGGTAGAGGAAATAAATATTTTTTTAATGTGTATCAACTTTCAAACCAAGCGTATGCCTAGATACACTACCCTCATTTCCTACATTCAGCTAAACAATTCTATTTTCATACAAGTCACGTGACAAATATCTTATTCATGCGATATAACTGGTAATAACTATGGCCTAGTCCTATCCATTATTAAAAGCTATATTACATTTTCTCTACAAATATTTAGTTTCTTTGTTACAATTTGTTAAAAGAACGGTGCAAAGGTCACATTTTCCATATCGGCCCTTAACTTGGCTGAGCAGGAGCATAGAATACGATTTTCAAAGAACTAATGTATTTTTACTATTTAATCTATTTAGCCCCGCTCTAGCACTAGAACCTCTGACCCTGGGGCCATGAATTTAACAATTTTAATAGAGTACTCGATGGTAATTACAATTTTATTCAAATAGTTTCAGTACTTGATGTCCAGGAGTAGAGAAGAAGCTTTCTAAAGATTGCATTTATATTATTGGTTTTATACCCATTCCTCGGGCCTTAGGGGGGACAGGGACAATAAATTTCACAATTTTACTTCCTCTTTACCCATAAATACTTTATGCCAAAAATTGGTTGAAATGGTCGAAGGGTTGCAGAGAAGAAACTGAAAATGTTCAAATTTAAACGCACGACTAGGGATGAAAATTGAAAGCAATAGGTCACATAAGTTTTTCCAGGTGACCTAAAAATAAACAATATAATTTTCATATAGAATTGTTTCAGTTTTCTTTCTTATACATCCATTTCAGATGGGGAACATTTTTACACCTTGTAGCTATTACCGAAATCCCCAATCCTTTCAAAAAGAAACAAAAGGACAATTTAGCCGAGAGTATAAATCAAGTATCAGAGGATGATGAAAACTTCAAAACGTCAGAGGAAGAAAGGATTAAAGGAGAGGAAGATCTAGAGCAAATAATTTTCAGTCTTCAGAAAACAGGTACAACATAGTTAGAACTGGAGCCAATGATGAAATAAAGATTGCCTCTTCTCTGTATGTATGTATGGTTGTAAGTAAATGAAATTATTCATACTTTATTCTTCTGATTTCAGGTAAATATAAAAGAGAAAGTTTTGAAATACCAACAAGTTCCACTAAGAAAAATGATCTTAATTCCACAGCGGCAACTGAATCTTACAAAAATACAAATAAGAATGAAGAAGGAAAAAGAGTCAGATTCGCAGAAACCAAGCGAAATCTACGTGAAACTATAATGGCGAGAACTGAGACCGAAAACTCTATACCTGATAGACAGCAGGGAGGAAACCTGCCGTTGTTACGTGGAGGGCTTATGCACCGAAGACTGCAGCTGTCGAGGTCAAAAAGAGAGGCATAACATTTCGAAGCGGAAATAATCTTTTTATTAAAGAGTACTCATTGGAAGTGGACGTTAAATCAACATATAAAAGTGACCCATTTATAATTATTTACTTTAGTCGAATGATATTTTATCTTGATAATTTTACCTTTTAGTGAAAAAAAAAAAATTATCAGTTGTGACAATACTTGGAGTTATATGCAAAACAAAGATATCTTTATGTATTCATTTTCGCCTATTAAATGTTTTAACCATTACATCTATTTGCAAATGGCATTTTTGCTTCTTTTTATATGGATTGTAAAACCAACATTTTTACAGTGATTTGCCTAGGGATGGTTATATAACTATTAAAACATCTGTTTTCGGGGGTCTTCGTATGCTCCGTTCACGGTTTTTTAAATTCTGTTTGACTGGTCATAATACTTGTATGTTTTTTATTACATATCATTAATATTTAAATAAGAAAATCATTTAAGAAATGAATTTCATTGTTGGAGATTCATGAGGACATGAACTACGACGCTTCACGTCGACAAATTTCATGAAGCACGATAAATATGCAAAAATGAAGCGTTGTAGTCCATGTACTTAATATCTTCAAAAATTTAATTCATTTCTTATATTTACATTATTTTGTTATGAGTTACCACAATTTTATCAATTCAACTATTTTTTTTTTTAAAGCAAAACAGTTTCTCATATACTGTGGAATCCACATTGTTCGTTGGGTACAAATGTTCGTGGATTTCGTGGCTCCCACTTAACCATGAATTCACAGCCCCACAAACGTTTATTTTGATAACGTCATTATTTATTGAATCTTCTGTCAATATGAGTTACCCACGAAATTGACATCCACAAACCAACGAAATTTTGCCAACCCACGAAATTGACCCCCCATGGGTTGAAATAATTCCACAGCTGTAGTTTTGACGTCAAGTAGGGTATTTTGACGTAAAATGGAGATTTTCATCCTCATCCATTGTACAATGTGTAGCTCATGAGAAAATGAACAAAATTCTAATTTGTAAGTTATGTGTAATTAGCGAAAAATAAATGGATATGTAAATGTTTAAATATATCTACCCTACCATGAACATTTCTTTTACTTCTTTTTGTTAAGCCCTACTTTTTTGATAGACTGCTTTTAGTTAGCTATCTGATCATAAAGTGTTATACAGGGTTACAGACATTTAATGATTTCGACAATTTATCATCATACTTAATGTTCAGAACTTACATTTTATCCGTTAATTTCAAACTAAAATTACCCTCAACATATGCAACACGTTTAGAAATGTACTTTGTACGGTAATCATACTATTACATTTTTATATCTTTAAACCAAAGGGTTTGCTTTAGATTTCTCACCATGTAAGTTGTGTCTTTGTCAAAAAGAAAAATGGATAGTGCTGATAAAACTTCAGTTCATGTACGATAAAAAAATAACAAGAACAAAAATAAAAGCAAAAAAAAAAAAAAACAAAACAAAAACAAAAACAAAAAAGAAAAAAAAGAACCCATAAATAAATATATGATGCAAACGAAAATGATTTTTAAGTTCATTAAAAAAACTTAGGTTGCCCTCTACCGACCGACCTACTTTATATACCTTAATGGCCGTAAATGCCAAGTGTAGGACAAAATTTAAATCTATCCGTACGTGGTCACTATTTGAATGAAAATTTTTAAGAGAGTCATTAAACAGCATACAAACAAACAAAAAGCAAAAAGCTATATAGTAAAAAAACATTTGATGAACTATTTATATTTTTGCTTCTTATTATGAAAAAAAATTAGTTGGTACAATGCTTTTTCAGTTTTTTTTCTGATTTCTATTTCTGATTTTTCCGATTTATTTTTCTACCAGACTCTCTGTGGGAAAAATACATTTTCATCCTTTGCATGTTACAGCTTTTTCGAACGGAGTAGAAGCTGTCATGATATATTGTCTCTATTATTATTATTTCTTTTTTTTGAAAGTCATTCAATTAGTTCGCGAACTTTTTGGTCACCCCTCGTACATTCCTTTATATCATTTCTTCTGTATTTTTTTTTTATTTTGTGCATTTTTGTTTTTCTTCTTTTGTACTTTTGTACATTCTCTTGTTATTATCATTATTTATTTCGTTATTTGATCTTGTTGTAGGGAGAGGGTTACAATAGGTTGAGACTGCTTGTCTATCATATTTACACAAACATGAGTGAATAAAATATTGTTTACAATTTAATCAAAATTTGCAGCTCTTCAGCGGTGGCGTCTTCATATGTGTGGAAAAAAATCTCGAGAAGGATGTTAAGCAATATTTAATCAATCAAAAAATTTTAGTAATTAGCATATTGTTTACGAAAAAATTTCAATTATATATGTGAACTAAATTTAGGTTGTCGGAAGCACAAACACATGTGTAGGCCCTATGTGACTTCTCCACAGCCATAATGATTGTAATGTTGTAGTTGATGGAACGGGAATTGGTCAGGAAACCGATCTGTGTGATTGCTAAATTGCAGAGAAACGCAGCACTGTTAAGGCCTACTATGGAAAACCAACTGAAAATAGACGTGCAAAATAGGAGGACTTTTTAAAACTGAATTTATTTTAATTAAGCTGTTTTATTATCACAGAACTCAAATACCTTTGGAAATAGCCTAGTATAACCCAATCTGAACTGAATAAAGTTTGGTCCCATCGATGGACAGTCACGTAATGAATGCATAGTTCGTGTACTGAATGTAGGTCATGAACAAATTTCAATATCGCAAGGGCATACTCTAGTTGAAATTAAAAATTCAGGCTATTAATTGTTTCTGCATACTTTGTAGTTTCTAAAAAATGCTGCTGCTTTGAGTAGAATTCGCGTTTTAATAGTTAAATTTTCAGGTAAATAAGCCAATGCTACTTTATCTCACCTCTTTCTTTGTCTTTTGATTTACATATAATCCCAATATCTATATAAAATCTACAAAAGCAAGGCAATTGCCAGACAATATACATATTGTATGCCCCAATCGTCACTATTGTAGTCAGGACGTGCAGAGAGGAAAAAACAAAGTGAAGTAGTGCTATCTGTACTGCATATATGATAGCAACAGCTAATACCCGAAGAGAGAAACGTTTCTTCAGAACGTAATTCCGCATGAAATTTTTGAAATTCGAGGAACAATGCAAATGATTTTGTAAACATTTGCCAGAAAATACTGCTACAAACACAAATTTAAATAACTCCATTTCTTTCCCATCTGATCCATTTACATATCAAATAATTTGTACGCACGCAAACTCTTACATATACCACTGTTTTTATGTTTGGTCTATAAATATTTGTTTTAACTTGGTATAGCTTTTTTCTTCATAATATTAAAAACGATTAAGTTCTGACGTACACCATGTATACTACTCGTGTAATTGAAATACATTTATATTCTCAGAGAAGTTTTTTATAACAAACCTGTTAGCTCTTAAAAGGATGCTGTGTTAAAATGCACATTTTATCAACATTGGTATTATTCCTGCGAAATTGAAATTTTCATAACACATGGTAAAGGTGCAAGGTGTCACGTGGTCAAGCTGGCTATCTCCAAGAATCACACAAGTTCAACTAAGTTTAATAAATTCATTTACAAAAAAGAAAAAAAATAATAATAACAAAGATCTCAAACAATCTACCACACTCTGTTCCACACCTCTTACTCACTATTAAACAGTTAACTAAAAAAAACAATTCTCTTGGTAACCAATTAACAATCAACTAATCTACCCCCGGTACATATCTCAGTTATCAATCAATGTCTCAATTATTCAATCAATGCCAAAAGGCATCATCATCGAACATCATCCTCAACGTCATCATCACCATCATCATCATCATCATATAAATAAAACCATGTCAGGTTTGCCACTAATGTTCATCTAACGAACTATCACGTTACGTGGTTTGACTTATCTGTGTCTGTCCACCATCACCGAGTCTTGATCACACACACAGCATCCTTCCTGACTTTGGTCCAAGAACCTTTCGCTGTGTCACCACGATCAGACGATCACTCAGCTTAGTGTATGTACCCAATATCCAGTTCCAATATCCTCGACGCTACAATGATGCATACTAATAAGTCACATGTTCACTACATATGTTTGGCAATTCATTCATTGTATCGATATAATGCAACAGCCACTCGAACACTCTCGCTAACCGTCACACCTGAATGAACAACAGGTAAAATGGTGAGAGCTGGCCAAGTTCAGAAATAAGAACGAAGTTGTATTTAATGATAAATTTGCCATAAAAAACTATATACAAAGCAAATAATATCATAAGTAATACTTACCACGGACCTGTCTCCATGCCAGTGTCAAAAAATTGCATATACTGCTGCTATGTACATATACTAGCTGCTTCAAATCAGAAACGTGTCTGCAGCTACGCTTCTCTGCCGGAAATGACCATGCCTCAATTGTTCTGGTCGGCTTAGCTATTTTGCAACGACTTGTGGGTATAAAAAGTATAGGGACAAAACGCGGGAAATACAAGTTATATACACAAGTGCAATAGTGATTGTTACACAAGGGAAAAATATATTACAAATTTTAACTGCAAGCAGTGAATTATATAAATGATCAAATGGCTCTAAAATGAAAATAATGACAATGTCCATGTTTTGCAATGGGAAACCAAAATTATGTGTAGGTTGAAAAAGTAATAGAAGAAGCAAAACGGCAATATGTAATAAAGATTCTATGAAAATTTCGTTCAATGGTGTGAAAGGAGTTGCGGATAAGAGATGAGTATACCTTAAGTGTAACAAACAGATGGACGGAAATCCCGATTAATAAATTCCCTCCCGCTTTTCAAGCAGGGGGTAAAAAAAAGAGGACTAATATAGGCAGACAAGCATTATGGCCCATGCATTTTGCTATTCAGTGTCTCTGAATGTCTTTCTCATGACGTTGCAACCCAAAAAATCTGAAACAACTGTCTGTATTTGAAATAATAATAATGTTCACTCACTTAACCTCCCGATCAAAGATTTTATTTTACACCACGTTCAGCTCCCATGAGTACTCTCGGTACTTTGATTATTGACAAGGAACAGAAAGTAGGTTAGGAGTTTCTGCTGTAAATGAAAATAACTTGTGTCAAGCTAAATTAAAGCGTTTTTTTTTTTTAAATTATTTGTCTTGCAGCAAAATCGATAGGACATTGAAATAGTTCAATCACTTTGTAAATTAGACTTGTTTTATTTCCAGAAAATCATTTGACACACTTCAAATGAAGTGCACTTATTTTGTAAAATTGTTCTGTCAAAAAAAACCCAACAATTATTATTAATTGTATGAATTGAATGTATTTTATGGGGGTTTTTATGTAGAGGATTCCATAAAGATTTAAAGCTTGTGAAATTCCATTATTGTAAAAGCTTTAGATCCGAGCTTTGGCCCATGTACTAAATAATTTCGCCTACTCAAGGATAGGAAAACATTACGTGATCAGCATAGCGAAACAGCTGTACATGATGTTTTATCTTGTTTTATATGTAGGTCCAATTATGTTTTTAAGTGCCATCTTTTTGCTAACTTTTTCTTGTGATGTTTGTTTGTCTTGTTCTAAATATATCTACATTTTCTATTCGTTTTTCAGACATTATCTTGTTTTACGTAACTAACAATCAGAGCTTGTGAGTCCGATCCCCTTATTGTTTGTTAAATTGTTTGAATTTATTCCGTCATTTAAATAAATAACATAATTCTTTTCCATGAATGTGTTTTATCTGACTTCTATAAACCGTTATCAATAATTATCCTTTTTAGGTCAAAAATAGTCTTGTACCAAAATTCATAGCCCCAGGGTCAGAGGTTCTAGTGCTAGGGAGAGGAGAAATAGCCTATTATAATGAAAATATATTACTTATTTGAAAATATTTTCTGCTTCTGAACAATAAATGAAATATTTAAGTATAAAATTATTTTAAGCGATAATATTTCTTTCAAACTTGTCAATCTCATGGCCATAGGGTTAGGAGATCTGGTTTTGGGCAGTAATCTATTAATTTATGGTTTAAGAACAACAGAAAATGTTAATTTCATTATTTCTAGCCCCCTCCCCCGCCACCACTACGGCTAGTGGTGCCAAAACCACTTACATTAATACAAAATTTAAAAAAATCTTCTTCTTTACACCTATACATCAAGCAGTCAAACTGTTGGCATGATTGTAATCAGCATTCAATCCTATACCTTTGCCAAAAACTGTGCAATTCATGGCCTCTGGTTCAGGTGTTTTGGTATTATGGAGGGGCTACATAGATCATACATTGAAAATGAATTATCATTATTTCTTTGAGAATCTTATTATTATTCCTGGGTGTAAAACAAACTAATTACTAAGGAGATACCAGACAAACATAGAATTATAGAGCACCTAACATGACAAAGGCAGCGGGATGTCCCTAAAGTCTAAGCAAGACTCTGTTATCATTGATGAATGTAAATTTAGAAGATGGGAGATCTTCAGGACATCACCAGGTAGCATATATTCAACAATGGCAGGGGAATTCCCTGTGATATGAAAAATCAAAACAATGTAAAAATTAAGGTTGGCATATACAAGAAAAGAAGAGGAAAACGCAAAGCGATAAGCCAGATATGGAAAAGACGTTGACAATTTGTCAGAACGGATTTAGTGTATATTATCCATGTAACAATCGCGTATTAATAGATTGCGGAGAAATATGAAATCAATCTATTCTCATACATGTATATTCAACAATCAATATGAAAAAAAAAATTAGATAGATTACATGATCAGTGCATACTGGTCCCTACTAACAAAGCAGATAACAACATCATCTTTGTACATTTCATTATTTGAATCGCATTTTAGAAGAACTTGGATTGCACTTGATCCCATCTCTGATATTTTGGAGGTTCGTGTTGTTCTCCTCCTATTTAGTATTGTTTTATGGACTTTTGATTTTGAATACTGTTCCTTATCTCCATACGTCTCATTCTACAAATGGTGATGTAACTTATACTCATAGTCCTCTGTCTAAGAAAGAAATTCTTCAAAAGTATATGTCGGTTTTGAATACATTTTAAGATTTACAGAACCAGGATGGATTTGAAGTACCATATCTATATTAAAATCAAAAACTTCAGAAAGATATTATTATAAGCAGTGCAGAGGTATAATATGAGAGCCCCATCTATTCTCATTCGAAAGATACAGCCAATTCAATGTAATTTTCAACTGTTTGTCAAACTTCAAGATCAATTCCCAAGGTAAAAAATCATTGTGCATTTGGAGAGGTCATGTCACATGTAAATATTGAACCCCAACCTGATCTCATTCAAAAGATATGAACAAGGTTTAAGTTTCTTGTGACGGAAGAGCAGAAGTACAGACTGACATACGCTTTTTTTACTTCTGTACAAATGTCTTGCTTTAATAATAGTATTCGAAACAATATAGATAAATATTTTCTTCCCAAAGGATTAGTGTGAGTGATGAAGATGGTCACAAGAATCTTTGCAATAAAGTGGATCCTATAATTGCGTCGTGGATTCAAATCTCAGAGTAACACTTGGATCCTAGTCCTTGGAATGAGACTGTGTGAACCAAAATCACGTGTTGCAGAAGGTTCTCGTATTTTAAAATCCTCCCATTGCTCAAAGACTGTGAGTGCTGAGTACAAGTCTAAATTTGCACCTCCAGGAAACAAGTGGTTGCCCCTCAAAATATAAGAAAAATTCTCAAAAAGGACATTAAAGAAATATACAAATAATCAAACATTTACGGAACATTATGACTGTTTCCATGAAAGTTTAACAAGTCATACCAACTTAAATTCATATCAATAGTAAACAAAAGAACAACAGTGTTACAATTGATTGTACTTGGGTCGTTTATATCATACCACTCTCTTTGAAAATTAGGCAAACTTTATTGCAAGTAGGTGCTTTTCGGAATTACAATTAAGATCCCTCATGAAGAAAATTCAAATGAAAGTACTCATTCATTGTGAAAGTTATTTTTATCAACTTAATTTAATTATACATCTTTTCAATTTAAGCATACAACACAAATTGTCACAATCAAAGTTGATTTTGTTATATGTTTATTTGTTTTTTTGTTTTATTAGTATTGCCCTGTGTTGATCCTTATTTGTATTTAGCGTTTATCCTGCAAGGAGCCCCATTGTGACGCTCAGATGATTTAAATATTTGGCCAGTCGCTATATAAGGTGATGTCAGGTTTGTCATGGGTAGCGCACGTTTTCCTTGACCAGTGAAAGTAGTTTCACAGTTATGTCCATTGAGGGTTAGGTAGCTTTATTCGTGGTAACTGAATCTCCAATCAGGGTAAGTGTAATTTACTTACATTTATTATATTAAAAAGTAATGCAGTATTATGTAAATTGAGCTTATTCTATTTTTATCCACCAGAAAGTGTTTGAATTGTATACGGGAATTTTATCACGTGCACATGCCGTGAGTTTAAGCGGAAAGTAATGATATTAGTCTATTACTTAGAATGTAACGTTATATTGTACATTATATTGCTTTGCCGTAAGAAGCGGTGTGATACATATTAGTGAAAACTGTATGTTTGAACAAGTATATGTGTAAACATTTATGCTATGTTGTAAGGCAGCCCGTTCGGGGTCAAGCTTATTATGTCTACGCATATTTGTTGAAGGTTCCTCTAGATACATGTACGTAAATGTGGTTACACAATGGTTTGGTGCTGTCTGCGGTGGCAACCTGGGCGACTACACGAGGGCGTGGTATGCTAGGCCGAGGCCGTGTGTGTGGAAACGTGGTTTCCTGGTTTTGTCAGCACTGTGGACGCTTAAGACGCTTTGGATTGGCGTGGGACTTCGAGGACGTTGTGGCATTTTGTGCAAGGGCGTGGTACCTGTATGACATGGACCGTAACAAGGATTAGACGTGGACGGTTTTGGGAACGTGGTCCAAGATGAACGCTCATAGACATTTTGAAATTCATTAATTTTCATTTTGTATATTTGTACATATATGTTTTTATATAAAATTGTAAATAGAAAATAGTCTTGTTATCACTGATCAAGCTTAGGGTGTCGTGACAAATGGTGTCAGAAGTGGGATGATGATGTTAGCTTTGATCAGTGATTGTTTTTTTTAAAAGAATGTTTTTTGTGTAAATTGGATTGAACGTTGGAAAAATATTGTAGTATTTTCATGTATTGAAGTTATAATATTTTTTTTATTGTATTGTTGTAGAGAGACGTTCAGAAAGAAGTTAAGGGACCCTGAGAGGAGAGGACGTTACCATGAATTAGTTTGTATTATGAAGGTTTGATTTCGATTTAGTTCAGTTTTCCTGGAGTGATATTTTGCTTTGTTATTTTTGTGTCAGTTTATGTTGTTTGATAGTTGGTTTATTTACTGGCGATTTTTGAGATGGATTTGTTAAAAGAGCTGACTGCATATGGTCAAAGTTTGGAGTTGACGGGAGCGGATCTTCAGAGGTTTATCCGTGAACAGCAGGCACATCTGCGAGAACTCAGAGTTGAGCAAAGAGAGAGACAAAAGGAGGACAGAGACTATGAATTGAAGAGAGAAGAGTTGGAAGTAGAGAAGCTTCGACTAGAAGAAAAGAAATCACTAGATGCACTGGAAAGTAAGTACCAAGCTAATGTACAAGAACTTAAATACCAGTTGAGTTTGAAAGAGACAGAATCTAAAGCTGCTAAGTCAGACATATCTGATGGTTCATTAGCAAAGGTTCCTAAAATGCCATACTTTGATGAGGTTAAAGACGACATAGACTCTTTTCTTAGACGTTTCGAAAGATACGCTATAGCACAAAAGTGGAACGAAGGAATGAAGGAACTTAAGCGCATTACTTAAAGGACGAGCTCTTGATGTCTATGCATTACTTCCACAAGAAAAGGCTCTGGATTATGCAGCCCTTAAAACATCTTTGCTGAGGAGGTTTGAGAAAACAGAGGACGGTTTTCGAGAATATTTCCGTAGGTGTAGACCAGAGGTAGGTGAAACCTTTACACAATTCGCAGTTCGTTTAGGAAGTTATCTAGATAGATGGATTGAGTTTGGAAAAGTTAACAAAACTTACAACGGACTATATGACTTAGTGTTGCAAGATCAGTTCATATCAATTTGTAACAGAGACTTATCGTTGTTCCTAAAAGAGCGAATTCCGAAAAGTATTGAAGGTATGTGTATGTTAGCGGATCAGTTCAAAGAAGCACGACATGTAAACATATTAACTTTAGTTTCTTCTAGCAAAAAGGAAACGACATTTGAAAACAGAAATCCAGTTGCAGCAAGAGATCAACGCAGCCAGAAGGAGCAAGTGCCGCCGAAGACTAATGGTCAGTCCTTTTCACAACAGAAGAAGACAGGGAAGGATATTCGATGCTACAAATGTTCCAGGCTAGGACATATAGCCTCGCAGTGTAAACAGTCATCAAGTAAGAATCAAAGCTTTGCGGTGAAAGCGGATACTTCAAGTGAGTCAGGAAGCAGTTTGAAGGAACACAAAAATTCAGGCAAGTGCTCTGCTTTTACATCTATCACATCAACTTCAACATTTTCAATGGCAAATTCGTCAGACTTATTAACTACATCAGCTTGCAGTGTAGCTAATTTCTCAGATCAGATGCCTGTTTGTGTTGGTGAGATTAATGATCAATCTGTTCAAGTACTTAGAGACACGGGATGCAATGGTGTTATAGTGCGTAGGAGTCTTGTCCATGATGATCAACTTACATGAGACCATCAAGTGTGTGTTTTGGCGGACGGATCCAAAATTGAAACCCCTATCGCAAAGGTGAATGTTGACACTCCGTATTTCGTAGGAGAAGTGAATGCGTGGTGCCTACATGCTCCATTATATCCTTTGATTATCGGAAACATTCCGCATGCTAGAGATCCTCACGATCCGAACAAGGACTGGAAGCCTAGTGTTGTGAATGCTGTAGTGACTAGACAACAGAAACGCATGGAAGGTAAGAAGATAAAACCTCTTTCTGTTCCAGAAATAATAGGATCTGAAGTTTGTCCAGAGGCTATGTTAAAAGCACAGGAAGAAGACGAGACGCTGAAGAATCTTAGAGCTTTGGTTGGAAAGGAAACCAACGGCAACAGAGTGAAGTACATTTTGAAGAAAGGTATGCTGTTTCGAGTTTTTCAGTCAGAGAAAGTCGAGAATGGTAAGCAGTTTACTCAACTAGTTGTTCCTAAGAAGTACAGAATGAAAGTTTTATAACTTGCACATGAGTCTTTAATGGCAGGTCATTTAGCTACAACAAGGACAATTGATAACGTGCTAGCTGAGTTTTATTGGCCAGGGGTCCAGGCTGACGCAAGACGGTTTTGTCGATCATGCGACATATGTCAGAGGACTACTCCTAAAGGTAGGACAACTAAAGTTCCAGTGAGTGTTATGCCGATCATGGATGAGCCATTCAGACGCGTAGCAGTTGATCTGGTGGGACCAATACAGCCAATGACAGAAAACGGTAATCGTTATATTTTAACTTTAGTTGACTTTTCAACACGTTATCCAGAAGCGATTGCACTCAAAGGTATAGAAACTGAAAGAGTAGCTGAGGCTTTAGTAGATATATTTTGCAGAATCGGAGTTCCGAAAGAGATGCTGACAGATGGTCGGGTTTTATCGTAAGTTTATTCCCCATTTTTCAGCAGTTGCCGCACCATTATCCGACCTGACGAAAAAGGGACAGCCGAACAAAGTTGTGTGGTGAGAGACCCAGCAGAATGCTTTCATCTCCCTGAAATCAGCACTTATGGTAACGCCAGTACTTAAGCTGCCGAACATCAACGAAGAATTCATCTTGCAAACGGACGCATCAGATGTTGGCATTGGAGCCGTTCTTCTCCAGTATGAGAATGGTATCAAGAAACCCGTTGCTTACGCCAGCAAGAAACTTACAACGCAGCAAGTTAAGTATTCTACGATCGAGAAAGAATGTTTTGCTATCATATGGGCAGTTCAGAAATTTCAGAGATATCTGTACGGAAAACAATTTATGTTAGAGACAGACCATCAGCCGCTTATCTATTTATCACAATCTAAAGTGCTTAATGGAAGACTAATGAGATGGTCCTTACTTTTGCAGCCTTACAGGTTCCGTATGTGGCGATTAAAGGATCAGAGAACGTTGGTGCTGATTGTCTAAGTAGGTTGTAGGATTTGAGTGAGACATAATGAACATAGTAATTTTGTACATATGCTTTTTTTTTTTGTTGTTGTTGATTGTGAGTTTTGCACAAGTTCAGTGAACTTTCTTGAATTGGGGAGGTGATGTCACAATCAAAGTTGATTTTGTTATATGTTTATTTGTTTTTTTGTTTTATTAATATTGCCCTGTGTTGACCCTTATTTGTATTTAGCGTTTATCCTGCAAGGAGCCCCATTGTGACGCTCAGATGATTTAAATATTTGGCCAGTCGCTATATAAGGTGATGTCAGGTTTGTCTTGGGTAGCGCACGTTTTCCTTGACCAGTGAAAGTAGTTTCACAGTTATGTCCATGGAGGGTTAGGTAGCTTTATTCGTGGTAACTGAATCTCCAATCAGGGTAAGTGTAATTTACTTACATTTATTATATTAAAAAGTAATGCAGTATTATGTAAATTGAGCTTATTCTATTTTTATCCACGAGAAAGTGTTTGAATTATATACGGGAATTTTATCACGTGCACATGCCGTGAGTTTAAGCGTAAAGTAATGATATTAGTCTATTACTTAGAATGTAACGTTATATTGTACATTATTTTGCTTTGTCGTAAGAAGCGGTGTGATACATATTAGTTAAAACTGTATGTTTGAACAAGTATATGTGTAAACATTTATGCTATGTTGTAAGGCAGCCCGTTCGGGGTCAAGCTTATTATATCTACGCATATTTGTTGAAGGTCCCTCTAGATACATGTACGTAAATGTGGTTACACAATGGTTTGGTGCTGTCTGCGGTGGCAACCTGGGCGACTACACGAGGGCGTGGTATGCTAGGCCGAGGCCGTGTGTGTGGAAACGTGGTTTCCTGGTTTTGTCAGCACTGTGGACGCTTAAGACGCTTTGGATTGGCGTGGGACTTCGAGGACGTTGTGGCATTTTGTGCAAGGGCGTGGTACCTGTATGACATGGACCGTAACAAGGATTAGACGTGGACGGTTTTGGGAACGTGGTCCAAGATGAACGCTCATAGACATTTTGAAATTCATTAATTTTCATTTTGTATATTTGTACATATATGTTTTTATATAAAATTGTAAATAGAAAATAGTCTTGTTATCACTGATCAAGCTTAGGGTGTCGTGACACAAATACTGCTGTACTTCACAACTTACTTCATAAGTATATGCATGTAAGCCTTAAGATGGCAGCCCACCAGAAAATTTAGCACAATTCACGTAGGACGACGCATACGAGAGAGATGTTTCAACATTGATAACAAGAATTTTTACACACAAATTTTGTAAAGTAAGAGTGCATTTTACGCTAACCAAGCTTTAAGAAGCTTAATTCAACCTGGAAATGGAGTCAATAAACTACCTGTCCCGACAATCAGAGATCAGCTTCGTTTCAATATCGTGGCATATAATTGGATGCAAATTAAAAATCTTCAAACCAAAAAAATTAAATTAAAATGTTAAAATGGTTCTGTTATATTTTTTATGATTTTTTTTTCTTATTTGACTTCTATATACTGACATTTACCTGCCAATGATGAAAGATTAGGTAAACACAAGAGGTTAAGCTTAAATTGTAAGAATGGTTCTAAAATTAGACTAGATAAAAAGCTATGACATGTTTTAAAATATGAAATTATTTACCGGTCATATCACACTTTATCCTAATCGGGACTAGGTGCACATTAACTTTTGCATACATGTGGTTGCAAATAATTAGTTCTCGTGTGTAAATTTTGCCGTATGAATATAGCGCGAATTTATTTGTGTAAGTACATTTCATATTGCTTATAGCAACAGTCTCCATCTTAAGCATTGTAACTGTTGTATATTCAATACATGGAGTGTAAAACATCAGTTGGTAAACATGGCGGCTAGGTTTCAATGCTCTAAAAACACGGATTTTAAATGGTCGATAATCTTTGGACTATTTAATCGATTTTTGCCATTTTCAAAAACATTGGCATCATGCTACTTCCTGGCAAACATAAAATTATGTATCAAATGATAAATAAAGCTGTTATCGGAAACACCCCGCAAAATCAATGGGTAGAATTACTTTTTGTTCAAGTGCTCTCCATTGGAATGCTCCGGAGCTTAGACAGAAATATCCATTCTATGAAATGTCCAAATCAGTTAAGCTCTTGATGACTTTTTTCAAATTTTCTCAGTTTCTAAACCGAGGCAAGCTACTGACAGATAGATTGATGTAATGATTTCGACAACCCCGTTCGAGTAAGATTTTGAATTCGTTTATAATTTGTTTTTTTATTACGTACTTTCCCTTTTAAACATTTCCCTCGGTTTCCATCAGTCATACATTGTAGATTTCACTAGACCAGACAGATTTCCAATTATCCTATATTTCTCTGAAGATGCCAACCAGTAGATAGCAATTTCCGCCTTTTTGGACGGGGCAAAAATATTTTCAAAACAAGATTTTAAGATATTTTTATTAATATTTAAGTGAAAGTTTCCAACTAATCTTTATCTTAAAGTTTTTAAGTTCTGTTTCACGTACCAATAAGTGGATCACTTTTTTTTTAACTTTCTTTAAGGAACATTTAAAATGTAGTCTAAAAGAAAGAAAATATCCCTTTTCTATGGAATTTTACAATTCTGAATCAGCCAAAAATCCTTAATATGTTTAATAACAATTTAAGTATCAAC